CCCAGGAAGGAAGAACGGATCTTTTGGGAGATACCTGAAAAGGTAAAGCCGTCGGGTGATCAAGCTGAACAAGTCACAACAGTTCCAGTGGAAGCAGTGATTGCTCCCGAAAGTAAAGATGTTATGGAATGGGACAAGCCTGAGCAATTTGTCAGCGAAGAGGACAAGGCTGTAGAAGTAAGTGTTGTTCCATCAGAAGCTGTATCTGCACCAGAGAAGAAGCTTCCTGCAGAGTGGGAAGAAACACAAGAAGTTATTGTACCCACTGAAAAGGAAGAAATTGTTGAAGAACTTGCAACGCTGGTGTCAGAAACTTCCAAGAAACAAGAATTAATGGCTTGGGAACATGCACAAGATGTCAAGCCATCTGCAGCAGAAACAAGAGAAATTTTACTTATTCCTGTTGAGGCAGTTAAAGCACCAGAGAAAAAGATGCCATCAGAATGGGAACAAGTGGAGGATGTGACTGTTGGAAAAGAGGAAACTGTTGAAGAACTGGCCTTACTTCTCACTGAGACATCAAGAAAACATGAAGAAATTACATGGGAAGTATCAGACAAAGTTAAATCTTCAGAAGAAGAAGCAGGGGAAGCTTCAGTGATTCCAGCAGAAGTTGTTATTGCCCCGAGGAAAACAACAGTCTCCACGTGGTACAAACCTGAGAGTGTTTCACCATCAGATGTTTCTCAGACTGCTGCTGAAGTCCTTTCTGATGCCGTTTCTGCACCTGAAAAGAAACATGAAATTCCATGGCACGACACAGAAGATGTATCTTCTGTCATGCCTGACCAGCCAACAACTATTCCTTCAGATGCAGTGGGGAGTGTTTCAAAACGTGTTCCTCTGTCTTGGGAAAGTCCATCAGATGTAGTGGAAGGTGAAAAGACTGAAATGATCCAGGAATTGGAGCATGTGCCTTTGGAAGCTCCTGGCAGAGAAGAAATCTTTTCTTGGGCCAAGCCTCAGGACATCACCACACAAGACAAATCTGTAACAGTTTCTGAAGAGCAAATCACTCCACTTGAGACAACTGAAGTCTCAAGACCAACAACTTGGGAGGGTCAGCCGGATGTTGTTACTGCTGAGGAAGTTGGCCATGAAGCTGAGGAGGTCCAGACAATGCCTTTGACAATTCCAACTCAGGAGGAGGTGACTCTCAGTGTCAGACCTTCCAAACTGGATCAGGAAGCTGTCTCTGATATCACTGTTGGCCTCATTTTGGAAGATATGCAGAAGGTTGTTGAAGTTACTCAAAAACCGGACATCACTTCCCATGCTGAAATTCAGCCTCAGAGGTTGGAGCGTACTGAGCTGGAAATGGCACCTAAAGTTGTGCAAGAGCTTGTTGATATTGAGGTTCATCTGGGCCAGCCAGCTGAGCTAGTTTGTGAAGTTGAAGGCTCCCCACAGCCAACAGTTCAGTGGTTCAGAGATGGGGTAGAAGTAACTCCTAGTGGGCACTATACAATCACAACAGATTTGGAGGTGGGGAGAAGCACTCTTTTTATCGCTGATGTGGCAGAGGAAGATGACACTGAATTTGAATGCAGGGCAACCAACATCTTGGGTGTGGTGTCATCATTTGCTGAGCTAACTGTTGAAGGTACGGCCTTTATTATATTAATTTTTGTTGATTCTGTTTTTTCATGTGGTAATGATTTCATAAATGTGAACATGACAATAATAGCTTATTTCAGTGTAATTTGTTCACTAGTATTTGCTTAATCAAAAAGTGTAATTTCTGTCATTTTATTTCTAAAGCGCCTCTTGAAACAGTGGAACAGGCTGAGGTTGAAACTGTGCAACCAGGTCACGAAGAGGTTGAAGTCACCATGCCAAAACCACTTGAGACAGAGACCACTGTGGCAGAGATTTCTATGAAGCCAACTCTTGGAGTTTCTGAAATGGAGGTGGAGATGGATTTCCCAAGGGAATTGCAAGAAGTTCAGTTTGTTGTGGAAAAGCCAGAGGAAACTGAAGTGAGCATGGCTGAAGTGGTTGCGAAGCCGAAAGAGACAGAAATTGCCACCACTGAAATTGTGAAGGAGAAGCAACAACCACAAGACGTGTCCCTGGCAGTTGACAAACCAGAGGAAACAACAGAAGTTGAGATTTCACTAAAACCGAGAAACGAGGTTTCATTAGTGGAAGTGGAAAGAGATTTTCCACAAAAACTGCAAGAAGTCCAATTAACTGTGGAAAAACCAGAAGAAACATCAGAGATTGAGATTTCCATGAAGCCAAAAACAGAAGTTACTTCAACTGTCATAGAAAGAGACTACCCACGGGAATTCCAAGAGGTCCAGTTTGTTGTGGACAAACCTGAAGAAGTCAGTCCAACCGAAGTAACCGTAGTTGAGAAAGACATTGAAAAAATGCCCCAGGCGATAGAATTCGTTGTAGAGAAACCCACAGAAGAGATGGAAGAAGTTGAGATCAAACACAGAGTGACAACAACTGTCCACACTGAAGTAGATAGCAGAGCAGAGGAACCGTCTCACTTTGAATTTGTGGTGGAAAACCTTGCTGCTGAGATAACTGCAGAGAAGCTGAGCCAGGAGATCATAAGGGAAGTCACCACTGAAATGTACAGGGAAGGCCCTGTGTTCATCCGGGAGGTAACTGCTATCACAACCACCCTGAAGGAAGAAGTGCGCTTTGAATGTCAAGTCAAAGGTGTTCCTACTCCAACAATTCAGTGGTATCACAATGGGGAGACACTCCGAGGAGATAGGTACATTGTCATCAATTACAATGATGGTATCAGTGAACTGTTCATAACGGAGGCTACGGAGGATGATATTGGTACCTTCATGTGTGTAGCAGTGAATCCACTTGGACAAGCAACAACTGAAGCTGTGCTTACAATTGCCACTGGTATAGTATTTGAAATTTTGTAATGCATGAAGAAAGAGCATGGACATTTTTGTATAAAAACCTGCACCTTGAGGGCCAATATCAGTGAGGTGCTTGAGGACAAAATTTTGTTTAAGCGTGAACAAACCTTGCTTGATAAGTCAGGTTATAAGGCCAAACTTCATTTGATGTATATTGTTTTGGAATGTATTGAGCTGTCTTTTGGTTTGCATGACAATCATTTTTATAGAGTTTGAGCTGGTCACCTTTGTTTTTTTAAGCAAAGTTTTTTCACACTTAAGCAAATTTTGTGCTTAAGCACCTCCATGAAATTGGCCCAAGTTCCTAAAGTTTAAAGAACCGATGCACAAGATTATTGATGAGTGAATTTAACCACTTGCCACTGCGGTTTCCGGTATCGGACATGTATTCTTTATACGCGTTGCCGGGGTCTCCGAAATCGGACAAAGGGAACTAGTCCTTGTAACAAAAGACCATACTCGTAACAAAAGATCAGGCTGCTGGGCATTACCAACATTTTTTCACTCTCAATAGTGGAGATAATCCAGCCTTGTTTTGAAACAGTATACCACGGTTTTGGGGATTTAGCACAAGCGGATTACCACCAGGGACAAATGCATTTCACCACTGCAGCAATGAGCCACACAGTACCGCTGCCAATAATCTGGCCCCTATTGAAAAGAAGTTAGCAGCACACTGTGCCAAGAAAATTAGGCAATACCGCACAATCTGGGCTCTTTTACAAGGCGGCAGGCCTGGTTGAAATACTCCAGTGTCAATAGATGTTGTCGGTCAGATTAGAATAGAAAACCAGACAGTCCTTCGTGTGGGTGTAAGTGTCCAGTAAATGAAGACAGGAATTTTTAAAGAATTTTGAAAACAGAAAAAAAATGATAATTGTCCCACCCTAGCATCATCAACATTGATAACTTCCACTGGCATGAAGGGGTTAAGCTTATTAATGCACTTATTTGTATAAAGATTTGCTTCTTTTTCTTTGTTCAATGGATATTGTAATACATTCTGTTGTGAATGTAAGAACGTTACAGTTTTTTGAAACACTTTTTAATTTGAACACATTTATTTCAACTTAGGGGAATTTCGCTACATGTGTTGCAGGAAGTCAAATTTGCTTGGTTTTTGTAATTACTTGAAGACTGTACTGGCCTCAAGATTTTTATTAACAATCGTAGGACTTATATGTATATTGAAAGATTAATTGGTAATGTTTTTGTTCTTGGTATTGATTTTTTTCCCCAAACAATACTTATTAAGACCAAGTATTCTGTTGTGCTGAAGAAGTGCCTTGTTGCATGTTTGTGAGAGTGAATGGTCTGTTTCAAAAGTGTGGGTTGGATATTACTTAGAGTATGGTTTGTTAATGTAAATAATTACCATTGTGTGGGTCAATTTGAATTTTATTTGTTTCTCCAGAAATTGTTAGAATTCACTAGGGTGTCAGTGAATGTTGTGGGGTTGACTGCTGGAAGTGTTTTCTCTTGTACTTGCATGTTTGACAAAATTCAGACACCTCAGAAACTTTCATTTCATAGCTTGGAACCTAATTACACGCTTCTCTAACTCACTGTCACAGATAAAACATCGGTGGTTGAGTTACAGCAAGAAGAGGTTGCAGAAGTCCCCGAGGTGACTCTGGAAGTCATCGAGCCCGTTGAGAAGCAGCCGCTGGAGATTGAAATCACCTTCCAGCCTCCTGAGTTTGTGGAGCCAATCACCAGCCTAGAGGTCTGTGAGGGATACAAGGCAGTGTTTGAAGCCCGTGTGGTTGGAACTGGACCGATAGAGATCACGTGGTACCATGGACAGGAACTTCTAGAGGTTGGTTGATTATCTTTGTTTTCCAGGTTTTGGATCAAAAATGCCTAAAAGCAGCAATTACATTTTAGCTTTAGAAGCCTGAAAACCTTGTTGATTGAAAAATTAAAAAAGTATTTTCAAATGCTTGAGGACAGTCTGGAAAACCCATTGAATCACACTATGAAATTAGATCTGTTAAAATAGGGTTAACTGTCGTTTCTTGCTTGAAGTATTCCACCCTGATTTTAACCCCATTTTAGCTGCATAGATCACGCCAAAATGTTCACTCCATTTCAACCGTGTTTCAACCGATCCCACAACCCATTGTTATTCACGCCTTAATCCTCTCCTGGTCCATCGGCAGACCAAATGGATAGTCACCCATTTTAACCGTGTATTAATGGTGGAGAGATGGTGTGCTACAAACTGCAGTGTCCCGTTGGGTAAATCCACTTTTTATTTAATAAAGGTGAGGTTTTGGGGGAAATGTCAATCATCTTCCTTACATTCCACAAGTTGGAAATTGGCTTTAGTGTATTGGCGTGTGGAGGTATTTCTGTGCCCATTTACACTATAAATTCACTAATTTTTTACATATAAAGCAATGAATTGATCAGATAAAATGATACCTGTGTCCGGAGTAGTTTAGTTATAATAAACAACTGAAGTTTTATTGTATAGTTACCATTCATTGTCCTTAATGACAATGAATTGGAAGTAAATGTTTTCTGCATGCACGGAATCAATTGTGCTAGCGCTAAAACTCAAGATGGTGGTGCCCATAGTCCAGTGTTAACCATTTGTCAAGAGCACAGAAACTTTTACCGATTAAAACTCCCCATGGCAGGTTCATACCGCCGGCCCATAAACCCCAACAAATTGGCAAGAACTTGGCAATCTAACCCATACCAAATCCGCGGAGAGTCTGGAATAATTCATCCCAGTTTTGAGGACGAACTTCCCCGTTCCACAATTTCTCCAGTGAACAGCGTCACGGCTAACAGGCCGCCTGCATGGTACGGCTGCAGCTTCCCACCATGTGTTGAATCGCTGGACTGGTCATGTCATGCGTGTACGCATTTGACTGCCGCGTGATATTCAAGGCAAGCTTTTCTGCACTGGCTGGGACAGATAAAAAGGTGCACAGGTGCGGATGCAGACATGAACAAATATTGCGGCGGGTGGTGATTACGTCGACCGGCTTGTGTTGGCCAGCCGTCCTTATATTTTTAGTCGAGGAATTACTCATTTTCATCTTCTTGAAATTAAACCTTACATTGCACTTTTTGATCTACAGTCTACGGTAAATTCCTGGTTAAAAATCTTTCAATCCCCCCATCCCCAAGCTTAGAACATCCTTTTCATTATCGTCTCAGCCAATAGCAAGAATGAAAAAGATGTCACATGCAAATTGGGCTGAACTACGTGAATGGGCCAAAATATATTTTCCCCTGGAGTTGCTGTCAATTGAGCACGAGTCCGACTGCAATCAGCATCCAGTCAAAATTCATTTTGAACGTCCATTTCTAACTTCATTGGCCAAGTATGGAACATAAGGGCGTGCATCTTGGAGATTTGAATGCATAATGTTTTTCTCAATATACATAAGCACAAATGTAGTGAGTATTTAGTTTTGTAATGCAGCTGATATGCCATACCTACAAGTCCATTGTAACTTTACACGATAAATTCACTGATTTATTACATATGAAGCATTGAATTGATTGAATAAAAATGATACCTGTGTCTGGAGTTCTTGATTATGAATTCTCACCATTATGTGATTTGGGGCCATCTAAGTTTACTGTACATATACATGTACGTGCACGTGTGCATTGTACAGTACCGAGCTAGCGTGGTTATAACTTGTTATCCTGTTTACATGGTCTGTTTTTTTTTTCAACATTTCTTGCAATTGCATGCATTTCGTTTGCTATCAATGCCATGTCACATCGGTTCTGCGGTTGTTGCATTCATCCGCGGATCCGCTGGTTTGTGAAGGGCTCGATTGTTTTGGCAGGGATTTTGCGATGCGTTAAATAAAAAGTCTGTATTCTGAAATACATGGGATGCATGATGCCTGAAAGCTAATACATTCTGGTATAGGATAGGCCTGTGAAGTGCTGAGTACCAGTGCAAAGAACTCACTTGTTTCAATCAGTGGCGATTAAAAGCTATTTAGTATACCGTTAGGGATTAGGGCAGGGCAGCCTATTAATGCGGTACGATCGCCACGCACAAAGGAACTCATCTGGCCTTGGGGATTATACTCCACAAAACTGACCGCAGAGTGTGATTCCCTAGAAGACCCCTGTCTTAACCAAATAGCTGGCCTTGCTATCTGAGCTGATAAACCACAACACTGACCGTAGAGTTAATGAGCAGAGCTCCTTACCAGTTTCCAAAAACAACCCCATTTTCACCCTGTATTTTTGCTACCCCAAGTTTAACCGAAAATGAATACGGTTAAATTGAGTGACTAGACGGCATACACCAGTTTTAACCGAGAAACTGCATTTTAACCAAGCAGCAAATCATAGGGTCAATTTAAAACTCACAAACAATAATGATATTGGAGACAAAGAAAACTAAAGAAAAGAACTTAATTCTTATGTACCATGTCAATCTGCCTTTATCAAACTTCTATCTTTTCTGCCTCTTGGCTCCTCCTGGCTCTTTGATAATTCAATTTACTCACCAGTGCATTAAATCTAGGTTGATATTTCTCACTGATAAAGTTATTTAAATAATATTGCTTGTTCCCTTTGCAGCCATCTCCTGAGATTGCTATCACTTTCGAGGATGACACTTGTGTCCTGGAAATTCATGAAGTCATTCTGGAAAACTCTGGTGATTACATCTGCAAAGCGGCCAATCAGGCAGGTGTCACCACCTGCATGGCTACCCTTCACGTGTCAGGTTAGTCAGGTTGTTTCTTTGAAGAGTGTAATACTGATGTTATAGACACTGTTTATTCCTCTGGCATTTGGTAAAATTAATCCTGTTGTTTTGAACAAATTGTTCAAGAGCGGAATGCGAACAGAGAGTTTGTTGATAAAATTTCATTTCCCACTACAGAATTCTAATGAAATCTAACTCCTTATTAAAACACATATATTGGATAAGGGTTTTTTCATACAAGGTTAACCCAGTGGTCACAGAAAGGTATTGCATGACTGGAGTACTAATTAATGAACCATGAGAATTTCATTCTTGAGGTGACAGTGGTAGATATCAACTGGACGTTTATTCAAGGTCAAACATCAATTTCCATGTGATCTTCACTAACAAACCCGATACGAGTTAGTAATACATGTTCACATAGCTAACTCATCCCATTGGATTTGATGTGGCACTAACAGTACTAACACCATTCACTCTAATCCCCTTTGATCCAACAGAAGAGGCAGAAGCGAACAAAAGAAATTCGAAAGAGATTTCACCAACTGATGAAATTAGAGGCTCACCTGGCCAAAAGATTAACACTTCTAAACATGCATTGCCAGGAAAGGAAGATACTGTTTTTGTTCCCTCTCCGCAGTTGGACACAGTGTTTTCCCAAAGAGAGAAAAACTTGAGATCCCAACCAAAACAGAAAGAGGACAGTGAGGAAGAACAGTCCAGTTTGTGTGAGAGTGAAAGAGAAAAATCAGGTTCTGATGAAAGCCAGGTTGAATCCAAAACTGACCAGCCACAAGTCATAGATAGATTTGATTTTGAAGAACCTGAAGTGACCTTACCCGTAAGAAAGACTAGATCCTTGAAAGCCCTGTCATCAATGTATGCAGATGACTTTTTCTCCCCACCTGCACGTTCACAACCCTCAACACCCTCATACGCACCTTCCCCAAAACCCCAAATCGAGGCAACATTCCCTCCCATCCAAAAGCCCAGTCTAAGAGATGCACTCAAGTCACTGGCATTTCGGTATTCAATGGAAGAATCCTTAGATCCCATGGAATGTGCATCAAAGTCTTCTGTGATAGAACACAGCAGAGAACAGTCCTTACCAACTGTAGAAGATACAGATTCAGCAGTGACCCTTGAAGGAAGCAAAACAAGTTTGGTTCGGTCCAATACATTCTCTAGCTCAGACTGTGAAACCTCTGGAAGTTCATCTGATGAGCAATCAGCCTGTCATGCTAAGGATGCTGTGGATAGTGTACAGCATGGAGATGACTGGGACCCAAAATCCCAAGATACATCTGAATCTGATTCCAGTTTGTCTGATTCTGAAGACTTCATTGATTCAAAGAAAGATCAGAGTGATAGTCCGAGTAGCTGCACTTCCTCTGAAGGAGAAGAGTCTGGTTCTGAGGAAGATCCTGAAAAGGGTGATTCCTCAACTAGTGAAAGGAGTCATTCCTTGAAGTTTGAAGCCAGTGGTAAAGGTAGTGCAAGCCAAGATCATGTAGCTGCCCTACGCCCCAGAAGACTTGATATTGTTAAGAATATTGATGCAGTACCTATAATAACAGTCACGACACCAGGGGGCTCTTGGCGGGAACGTATCACCTCCTCTGAGGATATTGTCTCATCCTCAGAATGTGACAGCTCAGACGTTTACGATGAAGACAGTTACGAAGACAATCAGGGTAATTCTTCATTGACAGTCTCAGCAGCTGAGGAGGGGCGAGTTGTTATCACGACTCAGAAATCGGAAGACCCTGGTGTCCCTAGGGAAGAACGTATTCAAAAGGCCCTCACTGAAGAGCCTACCACTCCAGAAATCTCTTTATATGCTGTAGAGGAATGCCAAGAGCCTGATATAGTTAATCCACCTCAAGATTGTAGAACTGTGGTTCAGGGTATAGCATGCTTTGGGGCCAACATCACTGGCAAACCAACACCTGTTGTTAAGTGGTACAAGGATGAAGTTGAAATCACTGATCTGAGGATGAACAGTGTGGCCAGCCAGGGTGGTTCCTATTCCCTAATTATAACTGATGTTACCAAGGCAGATGAAGGAATCTATACGTGTGTAGCAAAAAGCATGTTGGGACTGGATAGTGCATCTGCTAAACTGATCGTCCAAGGTTGGCTAATAACACTAATGTTTTGTTTGATTAATAATTAATGATCGCATGTTGTAGAGATCACCAGACACTCCTTTCCAATTCAAAAAGCATTGTTTGAGAAAATCTTGGTTATTTTTGTTAGTAGATCTGCCAGTGCCTCCCCATATGAAAAAAATGCTTTCATATCATGCTTACTCCAAGGCTGTACATTGAAGAAAAATACTGCTGTGTTACTGAAGTGCACTTAGTTTCCCAGATGCTCTTAACAGTCACTGTTTTGTTAAGGTCATTGCTGAAAGAAACTTTGGAGTATTTGGAAATAACGCCATAAAAATTTGATAGCTGATTGTCACAAATAATTTTCATTAATAGTTTTCAAAGGTAATCAATTGCCAGTATATGTTTGGTAAGCAAACTGTAAATACTTGTTAAAATTTGGGATTGTTTAAAGTGGTCAGAATGCCTGAAGTTACATTGGCAAGTGGATTTGGGCAATACAGTAAACTTTGGCTAAGTCAGCACTATCGGGACTCAAGAAATTGTAACGACTTATGCGAATGTCGACTTGTGTTGTAAGTCGTCATTTTGCCGACTTACACGTACACATGTATTGCTGATGTACATTATGATTCCTTGCACTAATTCAATGGCATTGATTTACCCTTGTTTATTTCTACCTCCATAGTCTATCCTAGCAAATTCGTTCTTGATTAATATCTTCATGGGCTGCAAATTCAATAATTGATCATGTGCCCCTAAGGACGAAGCAAGGACGGCAAGCCACTTACATATCACATCACAACTTGACAGTGCAGTACCTATGTACGTGATATAGTTACGGTATAGAAAATATACACTCATCCACACATGCACATTGGTTAAGTTCGTGCAATATAGTCTGGATACCAGACCCGATGATTCTGACTACCTGACGAATCATCAAGGGTTGTCAGGGAATCTTTGGGCAGGGAACCAGACTACGGTCAATAAGGTGACCCCCAAAATGGACAGAGTGTATTTGTGTAGCACTAGAGGGATTACTGGTATTGATGTACTCATGCTGGCCACACAGGGGACTTATCACTTGACACTTTTAGCAACTGCGGCGAAGGAAATTGATACTGAAGCAAGGTTTTTTTATGCCGACTTACACAAAGGAATTTTTGTGGTTTTGTGGAAAAGGGACTGAGAAAAACATGCCGATTTTTACAAATTGACGACTTATAAATACCGACTTAGAAATGAAATTTTCAATGGAAAGGCATTACAGACGATCGGGACTTTTGTCAAACGGCTGACTTAGATAATATGGTGGGTTACACGATGCGGACTTAGTCGGAGTTTACTGTATGTGAACATTCTTTAAGAAATGCCATTTATGGAGGAGGGGGTAGTCTACGACTGCAAAGATTTGAGTTGATAAGGAGTGATCTTACCTGTAGATTGAACATCTGAATTGTGATCATTTATACTCACATTATCCATCAGTAGAAATACCTGTTGACAGTAGAGTAATTAATGACACACATGTAGATTACAGTCAGCGGTATTTTGCATAATATAGGTATTCAGAACTAAAACTTATGACCAGATTTTGTTTGATATTAGTATCATGACCTGTTCGAGTTTATGACACCTGGTTATTAGTTTGATTCACTACAGTTACTGCATTAAATTTCAAATCACAGTGAAGAAAACCCAACCATTGCTGCAGCAGTTTGCCAAAACAGTTGCCTATCAAACTCTGAAGAATCGTTTCAGTTTATAGAGTTTATGATAACAACATTTTTTGAGAGGGGAAGGATGTTTGTTTTGGTGTGTTTTGCATTTGTTTTTGCATGAACGTTGATGACATTTAGTTTTTAACATACTAAGTGACATTTTAATCCCACAATAACATCTTTTATTTTCAAAGTTAAAAATTTTGAATGAATGATTGTGTTTTGGGGGCAACAATTTTTGGCAAGAAAAGATAAATAGTGAAATATTTTTTTGCTATATTTTTCACGTTCAATGTTTATTTTGCCTGTGGCATGATTGTCAGCATTATTCTTTGCATGTTTTCTTTATGGTAGTTTCAGATGATTGTTTTGTTAGTTGTTATTGCATGCGTTTTGTTTTGTTTGATGTTGCCTCTTCCAGAAGAAGAATTGAAACCAAAACGGGTGTCATCTCCTTTCAAGAAATACTTTGGTTATGATGAATTAGAAGAATGGAAACCCCCCAAACACTATAAAAATGATGCCCTGTCGAAAGATGATACAGAAGCTGTACCCGTGGATGAGGTTTTGGAGCCACAGGAGGAAACAGTCACTAAATCAATAGCTCCTTCAGACAAGGAAGCATCAGGGAAGTCCCAGTCGGAATTAGACTTGAGTTCTGATTCCTGTGGTGAACCAAATCCCATTGTGAGTGAAGAGTTTCTTGATAAGGTTGTTGAGAGGAAACCTGAGATTTCACATTCCAACACCTCCTTTGACTGTAATGCTGATGGAAAGTCAGTTGAAGATGGCAGCCCCAATGATGTAGTAAAGGACCAGGGCAAAGTTGCCCATGATGGTTCAGCAGATTCTTATTCTAGTGACTCAAGCTCTAGGTCATCATCTGATCATGAGGATGAAGACATCCGTGATAAGAGATCAGATTCTTCAAAATCTTCTCAAAATGATGACTCTGACAGTTATTTTAAGGAGGAATCAGATTTTTCCAGAAGTGGCAAGCATGTAGCTGAGCCCATAGAGGAAATCCATTCCGATAAATCCAGTTCTAGATCATCGTCTGATCATGAAGATGAAGCAGATGCTGATAGGAGGTCTGATTCGTCAAAGTCTTCTCTTGTTGAGGACTCTCATGCTCAGAAGGAAGAGCAGCATAGTGAATCAGATTCTACTGGAAGTAACAATCTTGCTAATCAGCCTTTAGAGGAAGTCCATTCTGACCAATTAAGCTCTAGGTCCTCCTCTGAACATGAAGAAGAGGAGGCTGCTGATGCAAAATCAGACTCTTCCAAGACCTCTTCAGGAGAAGACCCCGATGGAGACAGGGATAGATCAAGCTCCCGGTCATCTTATGATCATGAAGATGAAGAGGACACTGGTGCAAAGTCAGATTCTTCTAAGTCATCATTAAGCCAAGACTTTAATGATGGAGAAAAGAAGAGAACTCTGTATCTGTACCCAGAACTTTATCCTGCTAAAGATGACAAGGGTTTTCATGAGCAATCAGAGGAAAGCCAGTCTGAAAGATCAAGTTCCAAGTCATGCTCGGACAATGTAGATAATGATTCTGTATCTGGGAAATCTTCATATTCTTCCCAAATTTCTTCAGGCCAGGACAATGAAGGTGAAGCTAATGAAGAAAGCCAATCTTATCTTGAACCTATACCAAGAAAAACTGATGAGATTGTAGAAAAGGCATTGGATAAAGAATGTTTGGGATCTTTTTCTGGTCATGATGACAGTGCTGAGGGCAGGTCCTCAAATGAGGATATTGACAATGACAGTAAGAGAGAAGACCTTGCAGACAAAGCACTTGAGAGACATTCTATTCAGTCCGGCTTCAGGTCATCATCTGACCATGAGGATAATGCAAATGCAGAATCTGGTAAATCCTCAGATGGCTCTAGGACGTTTTCAGATGAGGACTCTGAAAAAGAACATCAGCCTGTAGAAGAGCCAGTCCCCTTTGTCACTGAAGTTTATTTTGAGGCCAGTGGTCCCAGACTGCCAGTATTTCAAGAGCTTGAAGCAAAAAATGACTCAGGTACTGATGATGAAGAGGAAGTACAAGATGCATCACCATCTCCTAGCCCTGAAATCTCATCTGCAGAGGAAGACTTAGATGGCAAAAATGGGGATAGTGAGTCTCCTTCAATTTCCAGCCCCACAGCCTCTAGTGATGATGAGTATGCGTCTGATGAAGATGATATTGAGCAGCCCCTCTCTGATACCTCAGATAAGGGAAATTCTCATTCATCTGTGTCAGATGGGGTTGATGAAGAAGCACCACAAGTCACACAGACCTTCCGTAAATGGACTGTACCACGTTTGCCCGAACAGCAACTTGAGATTCACTTGAAAGATACCGAAGAGAGGCACTCACCTGATGGAGAAAATGATCCACCAATTGTCACTGTAGAACTACCTGGACGAGCATTTGCTCCTGATTCATCTTCAGCTGAAGGTGAAAAAGAACCTTTTCTTGTTGAAGAATATCTTGAGGTGAATCCAGTAGCTCTCACGGGACAGCTTATACCAACTAGAACATCATCTGGAAGTTCCTCCGAAAATTCTTCCTCTTTAGAATATGATAGTGATGATGAGAGAACTGATAACAGATATGATGATGACCTCTTAAAGTCTAATTTCATTAAAGGACCCCAGTTCAATACATCAATGGAATTCGAAAATCTTCAGTCTCACCAGTTTCATCTTGAAATCGACCCCATTGTTCCAACTCTACCAGTTACAAAACATCCTGAGTCATCTTCGTCTGATAGTGAAGTTGTCACTGTCAAAGAGATTCTAGTGAACAGATCAAGTCAAGATTCCAACCTCTTGCAGTCGGATGACAACAGGCCTGTCACTGTCTATGAAACGTCTCTCTTCCAGCAAACTTTCAAGAAGGTCTCAGTGAAAGAAGTCCTAACAAACATACCAGCTACAAAGTCATTAGAATCAACCGAGATGGTTCTTCATTTGAAAACAGAAACAGAGACATCAAGAAGTTGCTCTTCCTCAGAGGATAATGATGAAAAGCAAGACATGGAAGTTTCAAATCAAGAAATTCCTATCACTGGAGAAAATTACATACCCCTCAACATCAAACTTAAGGTTCCTACTTCAGCACATGAAGAAGAGCATAGATCCAGTCGTTTGACTCTGAATGTAAATGTTGAATCTCGAAGTCCAAGGGTTGTTGAGGTTTACTTGGAATGTGCTCCTAGAGAGGCCTTGCAGTCAGTCTCTTCTCCTGAGAAGCACCGACAAGTCTTGATTTCTCAACAGGGAAGTGAATTAAAACCCATCACACTTTTCACGGTCAGTGATGAATATAATGAAGCATCATCCAGTGTACAAGAATTGGAGATCGATGTTAGTAAGACTTCAGATGATGTGGTGTTTGTTACAGTCGGGGACAAAACTGAGGAGAAACTGGATTTAGGAACCTTGCATCCTGATTCAGAAGACATACATCAAAATGAAATGAGCAGCGAGGATGAGAAACATGCAGCTGGTATAACAGGCAAGGTAGAACCTGTTTGTCAGGAATCATCTGTTGGATACTTGAAAGCTGAGGGGGACTTTAAACAAGTTGATTTGCCTCTCTTTGTTAATTCTGATCAGGGAGTTCACGTTGATCAAGAAGAGCGGCTACCCTCATTTTTGTCTCCAGTGAAAGAACATAATCTAAGCTTTTCCAAGAAGCAGCCACTTGCCGCTCCTTTCTTCTCTAAGGAGCTCAGGAATACCTCTGTTCTTGAAGGTGATGCAGCAATGCTTCAGTGCTATGCAAATGGGAAACCAGATCCTGATTTTGTGTGGTTTAAGGATGGCAAGGAAATTCTTGGAGATAATGATTTCTATGAGATTAACAGCATGAGTTATGAAGATTGCTACACTGAATTGGTAATCCATGAGGTGGTAGCAGAGGACGAAGGGGAATTCATTGTTCTGGCAAGGAATTCTGAAGGAGAAGCAACCTGCAAAGCCTATCTGAGTGTGCAGGTCATTGGAGGGGAAGAGTCAGAGACAGGGACGTCAGGCCAAAGTGATTCATCTGACAAGGAGTCAGGCAGGAGATCATCGAGTAACAAAGATGCCACGTCTGGAAAACAGGACTCAGAGGATGCTAATTGCTTTGACTTCCTGCCTCACAGAAGCAGCAAGGGAGAGACTGATGATGCAATCGTTTGTTCATCAGATAAGTCAGATTTTGATTCCAATGTAGAGGCTGACCAAGTCCAAGATGATGAAGCACCATCTCTAGAGCTGCCTGCCATCGGTGTGAGGGCAAGCCAGACTGATGCTGACTATCCCCAGTGGCATGCCTCATTTGTAGTTGAAGATGGAGAGCCACAGAGGGTTTTTGCCCAGTATGAAGAAACTCCATCCACGTCAATGGTTTTTAAGAGCCATCTTTGCACTGTTGCTCATGCAAGTATCGAGAGTGCAATTGAATCCCCTAATTTCCAGCCCCTTGAGCCTGCAGCTGAGATCTCTGATGACTCTGTTTCTATGGATGATACGGCCACTTTGGAAACAGTGCAAAAAAATCAAGAGAACAACAACCAGAAAGATCTATTGCCTGATGTCTTAGAGCAGGCTGCCTGGGGGACTTGTGACAAGCCACCTAAGCAGATGATTGTGGAGGATCTCTATGCGGCCGTGACTGTGGAACCTGACCTGTGTATTGCTAGTGCTGCAGATGATGCCTTTCTGGTGGAGAATGTAGAGACCAGACATGAGCCCATGTCTGAGCCATCGGATGACATCACTGAACCAGGCCTGTTGCATGCTGCCAATGAAGGTTTGAATTGATGAGTTCACAAGTTCCTAACAGCATGTAGCATCTAATGTATACTTGTCAAGATTTCATATCATACATTAACACACTTGCCTTTGAATGCTTCACTGCTTATCTGCACCCAATTTACTCATTCTATTCCACAGGGGTTGGCGAAGAAACAGTCTATACTCTGTCAGTGTCAGTTCTGCCTCAGTATTTCACTGTCTGATGTTTTAAAGGTCATAAAATTTACTGTAGCTGCTTGAAAGCCAAGTTCATAATCATTAAAAGCTTGCGTTTTATTGAATAGTTTACAAATGCTTACCACAACTGCATAGTGAAATCACTGATTAGCTTTTTAAAATTATAAGTCAGCTGTTAAAAAGTAATCATCACTTCTTGTTGCAACATTTCCTTGCATGAAACAAAATGTGTCTTTAGGTGGTAGAGTTGTCATTCAATAGATTTTTTTTCAGAAGAAATGTGAAAAGAATTCAAGTTATTGGTCTCATGCCTAGTTATAAATGGTGAACTGCTTTAATTCAGTTCCTTTGAAAGAAGTTATCATGTGTCACTGGCAATTGTCTGTGTTATTCATTGTGAGCTGATGAAAGGCCTAAACAATGGTTAAAACCTGTTAATATTGCTTAAATTTATCAGCTCCCAAGTTAGAATACAGAGTTGTCATCATTAGCTGTGTTTTAGATATGGTATTGAAATTATTGGAGGGTGCTAATACAGTTCGGGTAAGCTTTTCTTTAAAATTAGCCAAACGGAGTATGTCTTTCTGTATCAGCTGCTACGTGTATATCTCAGAAATGCAAATTCGTTAGTTTTGCTTTTCAGACATAGACACACTTCCATACCTCCAGCTTCATTTTCCCGTTTTTAACTTCAAATGCTGTGCTTATATTCACCTTTCTGTGCTGCTGTGATGAACGGCATTCATTGCTAGCCAGTTAGCACAAATGCCGTATATTGGACTTGCAAAATGCCCCTTTCTTTCAAGAAGATTCCAAATACCAATGTAAGAGAATGATTTATCAGCTCTTTTAAGCTCATTATTTTTCCTTTTGTGCTTGGTTGTTTCAAAAGCCACTATGAAAAAATGTGCATTAAACAGCATTCTAACCCCTGACTTTTCATTCCTCATGGAACCAGATCAATTAGCCTTAGATTTAGCAAATCAGCTGGCTAAGCTGGATGCAATGACTAGCATACAAATGTAGTTGGATTCATTGAAGTAAACCACTGATTCATGTGTTGTCATTGCTAAGTCTCATCGCGTAGCTACTGTATGCACCTCCTCATCTTCCAGTTATCTCTGAGTAAACCTTTTCCTCCATTGCTGAATCATTGATCGCTTCTCTCAATGTTTTCATTGAGATGTGTGCCTTCTAATTCCTCTTAGCACAAATCATACCAAAAGATGTGTGGAAAATGATGTTATCTTTTCACTTTTGAATTCCATCTCTCTGGAGCTGCTCTTGTTGCAGATGTTTCTCTTTGAACTGATACGAAAGTGCACATTACAAGTCTCCTTGCTTAAAGCCAGTAACAGTAGAGTAGTAAAATCAACTCTTGCACCTCGGCTGTTAACATCCTGACACTTTGCACATTCTCTGTCATTTGATGATGATTTGATGCAGAAATAATCTTCAGTATTTAAATTCTTACAGAAGCTCCAGCCTCTCCGAAGGAGAAGGTTGATGAGGAGAAACCAGTAGAAGTCCCTTCAGTCACTGTCCCACGGAAGGCAGAAGAGAAACCACTCCCAGAGGAAGGAGAAACCAAGATCCTCCCTGAGGAAATTGTTCCAGAATTGACACCCAAGGAGATCCTTCTAGAAGCCGATTACCAAGAGCTTCCCAAGGAGGAGGTAGCTGACGTCATCCCTCCTCACTTCACAAAGGTCATCGAGACCTTGACAGTCGCTGATGGTGACATGGCTCGCTTCACAGCCGTCGTATCCGCAAAGCCTAAGCCTGTCGTCAAGTGGTTTGTGGATGGCTCCGAGATCAAGGATGAACCTGAGTACGAGGTGACCTCTACTGATGATGGTGTCCATACTTTGACCTTGCCTGAGGTCATCCCTGAGGACGAGGGAGAATATATGTGCAAAGCTATCAACAAGGCCGGGGAGGAGACATGCACAGCAATGCTCTTTGTTGAAGGTAAGTTCAGAACTTTTCTCATCTTATTTCTTTAAGAGACAGTTACAGAACACCAAAGAATCCCATTTATCTATGTTTCCTTCCGAAAACTCTATGGGGGGATGTATTTTTCGGCAGTGAGAAGGAACGACATTGTACTCTAACATTTTACATGTTTATCTGAAGTTCTTTTGGATTATTTGCTTTCCACAATAGCATTTTTCTATACCCTGCTAACAATGTAAGTGAGCAAGTATCTGTATTTACTTATGCTTGAGAGTTCGACAAATTTGAAAATTGAATGCTAATGTGACAGAAATTAAGAAAGAACCAGAGGAGCGAGCTCGAGAGAAAACTCAGGTTGACATTGAAAGGCAGCCTCCAATACCTGAGCTTGTCGGCATTGAGGTGGATGTTGCAAGACCCAAGAAGACCACTCTTGAAACTTCCTCAGTCACGATGGAAGCCAGACCCTTGCCTGAGACACGTGAAACAACCACACTGGGACTAGATGTTGAGGATGTACGTCCACTACAGGAGATTGAACTGGCAGTACAAGTCTACAAAGATGCACCCAAGGAGATGGTACCTCCTTCCTTTGCCAAACCCATCGCGACTGTCATTGTCAAAGATGGAGAAAAAGCGACATTCACCGTTGAGGTGTCTGGTCTCCCGACACCCAAAATAACCTGGTTCAGGAATGGTGTGGAGATCAGGGATGCCCCCGAATTCAAGGTGACTGTTAAAGAGAATGTTAACGAGCTCATTCTAGAGGAGAGTTTCCCCGAAGATTCAGGGAAGATCACGTGTAGGGCCTCCAACCCAGCCGGCATCGCAACCTGCTCAGCCAAACTTATCGTCAGAGGTTGGATATTACTTTGTCTTAGGCATGCTGGCATGGAGAAGTTTTAGCAAATCCCCGAATTATATAACAACATGAAATGTTCTGACATCTGTTAATTGACCCTGTATTCTAATAGGTTTTGATTATGGCTTGAAGTTTTCATCCCTTGCTGTTGTGCCACTCCTTATTTAAACTGTGATGTTTGTCTTGCCAAGTAGTCTCTGCTCCTAGTTTTTAACAGTAATGTCTGGAACCCTGTCCTTCCTTCAATACCCTGTCAAATTTTGCTGTGTATTTGTGTATGACTATAAAAACAGAGCATCAATTGTCATTGAAAAATTGGCAACATGAAGCAAGGTTGTTTATTTATAAAGAATTAGCTTGGAAGTGCATCTGTATATATGTTGTTATGCATGATAAAGAGTCCTTAAGATTAATAACTGTCTAGGACCAGATGCAGACAGTTTTAGTGGGTATTGTTTGCCTTGTGCACTAGCTGTTAGATTTTTTCAAGTCGTATATGTACGTGTGTGTCCATGTTGTTGAACTCTACTAGGTCCATACTGTATCCTAGAGAAATTGCTAGAGGAGACGAAAAATGATATGATCAAATGTTGTTAGATAATTTATTGTTTTGTTTTTAAATTTTATGTATAATTCTATGTTATGTTACTGTATGCTCTGTTCATGTATTGGTCATAATGGAGGTTGTTGAGCTTTGCATGGTTACAGCGTTGCATGCTTCTGTACGAAGGTTACACTCACATCTGTTGACGAGTACAGTTTAATTAGTCATGCTTAAAACATTTATCAGTTTTACTTTGAAAGTCTTTCTAGTTGTAAAAAGAGGCTTGGAGATTATCGTAAGAAATGAGATTAATTAAATAATAAATAAGAACATTCAATGTCTTTCCTGCAATGTAGTTATTTTCCATGGGTATATTTTATTTTGTGGCAATTTTAGGTGTACTTCAAATTACTTCTTTGGCAGAAGTTTTGTTTCTGTTTCCCTTTTTGTGCTTCATGTGTTAGTTCCACAGACTGGAAGAAATGTAAATGAGAGTAAACTCTGCCTTATCTAAAGTATGAGTTTTTGTCTCTTGTGTTACTCAGAGGAAGATTCGACAGAAATTGATACCGAGGTTGAGGTGATGACAACTCGCAAGACCGTCACCATGACAACAGAGTTCACACAAGAGGAAGAGGTCCTCCCTGTGCAGTTTGAAATCAAGCCAGAGGAAGAGCTTCCCAAGGAGAAGGCTTTGGAAGAGGAACAACCGGAAGTCATGGAAGAGGAAAAGCCGGAAGTGGTGGAGCAAGAGAAGCCAGTCCAGCCTGTTGTGGAGGAGCAACCTGAGGTTGAGGAAAAGCCAGAGGAAAAACCTGAGGTAGTTGAGGAGATTCCTGAAGTACCAATCACTGTTACAGAAGAACCTGTTGTAGAAGAAGCTCCAGAAGTGGTAAGAACTGATCATTTCAAGAAATTGACTCATCTTGTTGATTTGGAATTCATGTCTATTGCTATTTTATGAAATCAGGGTTGTCACACCATTAAAAAACCTTTAAAAATTATAAAAAGACTTTTTTATTGTCCTAATACCACAAATCTTATTTTATGCTTTGAGACTTTTACTTTCTCCATTGTGCAGACTGAGGAGGTGTCTCCCATAGAAGAAACTGACACATCCAAACCAGTCACTGTGACAGAAACCACAGACACGACTGAAACTGTCATCATCAGCAAGAAGGTTAGACTTACACTGATCAGTTTATCAAACAATCAAAGACCGAAATTATCAAGGAGATTTTCACCCGGTACCTTTTGCTTAATCTTATGAAAAAATTTCACTTGCCATTTTTAATTGAGAAAAGTTACATTAGATTTCAGAAGCTCTCGACAATTAGCAGGTTCCCAAATGCACAGACTTTAACACTGATGGTATCACCAATTTAATTCAGTTTGTTTGTCTTTGCAGATTGCTGAAACAGTTGAAGTGGAAATCACCAAACCTACAGGTAACACTGTAAAAAATGCAATGCGTAACAGAATGGTGTGTAGAATTCCAGTAATGTTAAGAAAACGGTTTTCTTTTCTGCTTGACAAATTTTATTGAAAGTTTAGAGCAACCAATTTGTTACTTTAATATCTGGAACACATGAATAATGTTGGAGCAACTGTTTAAACTGTTTTGTCAGAAACTGCCGAGACCAAATTCATCGCCATGGGCAACTACCTTGCTGAGTCGGAGGAGGTCATGTCGCTGCGTGAGGGTGACAAACTCATCGTAGTCGATGAGGGCACGGGTGACTGGTGTCTGGCTCGCAGTGAGATGACCCAAGAGGAAGGCTGGGTGCCCAGAACCTACCTGGCAACCGAGGAGCAGTATGAGGACAAGCTGGAGGAACAACTACAGGAGAATATCAGTAGGCTACCTGCTGGAGGTTGGTGTCATTGCTGGCTCTGAAAGTCAGGGTCATTTAACCATTTTGAATTGTAATAATAACAGCCCCTAACTGATACTTCAGTAGGGAGACATACCCTTAAACCTTTGTATAAACTTTAATAACCTTGTTCTCTAAAACAACAATGCCTAACGCAACCAAACTTCAGAAAATGTTTTATTTAACCATAAGTTATCCAACTATTCAACAAAAAACACATAATTCAGTTTCTTTCTAATGTTAAAAATCACCCTAAGAATTAGATTTACTACAAAGTGTCTTCATAGTAATGCATTTAATATTGTAGCTATTACAAAATTGTGTTATATGTTGATTTCAGACATATGTGAAGTACTTTGTACCACTGTTAGGTTGTTTGGTATTTTGTTACTTGTCTTGTTACTTGTTTGTAATTTGATATTTTGTTTTTCTTTGTTCTGTACTTCTTATCCTTGGCATATTGCTCTGTGCACCATTTGCCTTCCACCATTTGACTTGTCATGCCATCAATGCCACCTAAATACTTCTGCTTGTAAAATTGCAAAACTTTTTATGGTATCATGTTTCTGCATTGGCTCTAAAAAAAAAAATGAACCTCGTCTGTGGGTGAAATAAAATAAAATAACCTTGCGCTTTGATGGGCTCATTGCTTCAATTGCAAATTTTGCAAATACCTGAACCATTTGCTGTCATTTGCCTTATTGCCGGATTGAATTTTTGCTTTTTATTCATTCCTTTTTCTTTTTCTCCACTGGTGTACCCTTCCTGTTACAATGGCCATATTTTCTTGATACATGTACATGCATTCTGGGTGATGTGTTCCCTTCCTTTCTTGCTGTCATGATCTGGTCAAACTGCTTTGCGCTGCTGCTGCTGTTTCAAACAAACCAGCCACTTTTTGTGCTGCAGAGGAAACGGTGGAAGGTGAGCTCAAGCCACCTGAGTTCATCGAGCCGCTGGAAACAACAAAATGCAAGGACGGCCAACCCGTCACCCTGAAGTGCTGCGTTGAGGGCAACCCCATGCCCACTATCGCCTGGTACCGTCAGAGCACTCCAATTCCGCTGTCTGAGGACTTTGAAATGGAGTACGATGGGAGCACAGCGACTCTGACCATCCTGGAGGTCTTTCCAGAGGACTCTGGGAAGTACACCTGTGTTGCCAAGAACCAGGGAGGAATGGCTTCGACGAGTGCTGAACTTCTTGTCGAAGGTGGGTCACATAACTCTGCTTAGAGAATTATGATTGTACCTGCAGTAGAAATGAGAGTCCCATATGTGCATTCCAATTTCATGGGTATACTGCCTGGTGATTGGTCGCATACTGGTATACACCATCATTCACACAAGAGGATATTTTTTTGTTTTTTCAATTGATACCAAAAGGAACTTCCACATTACTCGCATGCATAGTCTTTATACAGTGTCAGTAAAGGGTTTGAATTCTTATACAATGGTGAGAGTCAACTATAAGTTCAAAGGTCTTTCTGTTTGTATTTGCCTGGCAGTGACATTGTCAGATGTTGAGAGCTATGACAGCAGCCACACCCCAGTCTCCAGGAAGAGTCTCTCTAGGTAAATTTGGAAAAGCAAATAAAATATAAAAAGGAAAAATTAACCATTTGGGAATGAATGTTGGAATTTTTTATTATAGTTTCCATGGTAAAATCTACCTTATGCTTTGGAGAATAATGCACCAGTCATTGTTTAGAGAATATCAAATAATTTGAAAATATCTTTCTTGCTTGGTGGTCTCAATCCCTTCACAGACTGTAGATTGCCTTCAGCATTTGAAGTAAATTTTTATTAACGTTTGTGCTTGTATTGTATATTAAATTGCAGGGAGTCAACTGTGGAGGAGCCAGAAGGTATCAAGCCAGCCTTCATGTCTGTCGCCAAAGCCAGGCGTGTGGATGAAGGTCACAGCAAAGTGGTCTTCGAGTTCCGCCTGATAGCTGCCCCTCGTCCCACCATCTGCTGGTTCCACAATGACCAGCCCATCGAGGAGACGTCCAGGCGGAGAATGAGCATGTACGCTGACGTCCATCTCTACATCCTTACCCTGGAGCTCAAGGATGTCAAACCGGATGATGATGGTATCTTCAGGATTGAAGCGAAGAACAAGGAGGGGTCGGCTTCAGCGACAGTAGTCCTTGAAGTCAACCGTGAGTAGTTACTTATTTAGATGATACTCAACATCGGTGTGGTTTTAGTTCCTGCTCTGTGTGCCTTGTAAATAGTGGTTGCAGTAGAAATGTTTTGAATTAAAATTATGAATGAAGTCTTTTTGTAATATTTTACAAATTGCAGTTTACAGCTGGGTTGCATTTTTGTATGGGATGGAAGCCAAGTGGAAAACAGCAAAGTGGAAATTGACGTAGCCATTTGAAAATAATGTATTCACATACATGTACTTCCACCAGTCTTGCTGACTGTCTGATTAAAGATTGTTGGAAGGATGACCTTCATGTGCATTATATCCAAGCTGTGGCATTTATTATGCATGACAGTATGGCTGAACATGCTTAGAATGCAAATGAGCTTGATGTGAGCTGGCTTTAGATTGCTGTGTTTCACAGACATGGTTTTGTGTAGACATCCAACATATCCTTTCTCCATATTACATATTCCCAGCTCATGATATCAGTCAGACTAATTAACATTAATTGCATGTTTCCTGTTGATTGATGACTTCCTTGAAATTGGAATTGTATAAAGACTTATTGATTGACAGCCAAAATTTGAATTGTAAACAAAACTGATCTGAAAATTCTGGATTATACTACGGCTGCTTATGGCATGAATGATACAGATACACATTGTCATTTTATTAGAAAACAATTCGTTTGATCTTGAACGTTTTTATTGTCCACAACAGACAATATGACATTGTTTGCTGCAGCACAAGTTAAAATATGGCTTCATAATGCAGCTCAGTCTCTGAAGTCATCAGTGAGCATGTATTCCGTCTTTGACATACAGATCCTTCCCTCATTAACCATGTTAACATTACCAGTAGCCATTCATTTCCCCATCATTTACCTGTAGAGCTGGGCTTCAATAGCATGACCAATCTGTCCACATTGCATGCCCAAGAATCGCCTCCATCCAAGATTGTCTGCTTCTCTCCAACCTTGCATGACTCTTCTAACCCATTTGATTTCTCCAAACCTGAGTGGATCGTTTCTGAGACTTGGGAGGTTCAGATGTCTTTGGCGACAGGTGATTGTTTTGTTTGTCTCTTGACAGTTGTAGGCCAATCACTTGTTGTCTCCACCCTTCCTGTATACCTCCCAATTCTGTCTTTAGAGACTGTAATATTAAGACCTTTTTATTTCCCTGCGAATTTTCTTTAACTTAATGCATATAAATATTCTGCAGTCATGCTATTGGAAGTGAAAATTATGATGAGTCTTGACATCTTGTTGATATGTACAAGAGACATGAGTGTGCAAGAACTAAACTTGCCACCATTCAATTACCAATTGTAAGCTATGAATCACAAAATAACATGTAGCAGCCTTTGTTCAGGGAGAGAGATTGGGACAACTCTTGACAGGCACAGTGAAAATGTGTAGAATCATGACAATAAGGAAGAATTTTCATGTTGAATTTTTGCATGTTCTTGAATGTTATTAACATAACAACAAATAGATTAGACATAAATAGAGCATGTTTATCAGCACTCACTGCTAAACCATTTGTGTAGTATATTCATACTGTAATATTAACCGTCCATAACTGACTTGAATGTTTTCTGATGATTGATGCCATTAATTGACTTTCCTCCCTAGGTGAGGAACCAGAGCCTCCTCGCTTTGAAGAACCTCTTGTCTCTCTGATCGTCAAAGAAGGCCATGTCGCAAAGTTTGAATGTCGCATCAGTGGCAGTCCCAGGCCGGAAGTCACCTGGTTCCGTGACAACGTCATGCTGACAAAGAGTGATGTGTTTGAGATCGGCTTTGATGGGACCGACAAGTATTGGGTTACCCTAAAGGAGACGGTGGAAGGCGATTCAGGAACTTTCACATGTATGGCTGAGAACATTGCTGGAAGAACTATCAGTGGAGCAGAACTCACTGTACAGAGAGGTACATTGTCGATGGTCATTTATGTCACTAATTTTAATTATTGAATTGGTTAAAAATCAATGTCATTGGAGAACAAAGCATGTGATGTTACACTAGCTCGGTCCTGTGTACCTGCGTAAGTTGGCCGTGCTTGAAGGGCTGACTTTCCATAAATGTGTTGATGTTCTCAAATGACCTACGATGTTCTTCAGTTTGAGCATTGCTGTTGAAATACTGAAACTGCTAATTGGATGGAATACAGCTTCCATTGTACATTTTGTGCAATAGAGACAGGATTTCTTTTTAGATACAACTGGAGCTGTTGCTCCATAGGCAGTACTTTGTATATGGATGTAACTGTAGCTGTCATAGGCATTTTGAGGATTAGAGCTAATGCTGGAGTTGTTTGATTAAAAGAATATGAAAATGCATGTTGTTAAAATATGTATGTTTACGTTTAAGCAATTTTAAAAAGAAACATTTGGTAATCTGAAGACCCATGATAACCACATGTCATGTATGAGTCACCAAACAACTTACACGATAACTTTGGGTATGTTTTTCAGATGTGAGCCAAGAAGTTGCTGTAACAACTGATGTGACAACAACAACCGAAGTCACCACAGAGATTGAAAGTGACTTTGAAACACGTTCAGAGGTAGAGACCTCACCAGACATTGAAGGCCAACCGCCCAAGTTCCTGAAGTCACCCCAGGATGTGGAGACCCAACCTGGGGAAAGGGCCGAGCTGAATGTAAAGGTCACAGGATTACCGCTTCCCGAGGTCACCTGGTACAGGGATGGCAAGGTATGACTGAAACAAATCTGATTTTGATTAAAGTTTATGTATTTGTAGGCATAGAGTTTTACTCAGGAGTGTGCTAGTTCAAATGATTTTAAAATCAGCTTTCTCCATTCTGAAATGCCGTCGTTCACCTCATTGATGTAGCGATTATAGAAATGTACAATTTTGTGTAATAATATTTTCAAAATTGACATTTCTGTATCTCTTTATGCAGGTGATTCAACCCAGTGATCATCACAAACTCATTGCTGATGAGGAAGGCAATGCCTCCTTGATTATCTCAGAAGCCAAACCAGAGGATGATGCCGAATATCTCTGCAAGGCTCAGAACAAGTTTGGCATGGCAACTTGCAGAGCAGACATCATTGTTGAAGAAGGTATAAAGCAAAGTTATTATGAAAAGTCCCTGTTGACGCTGTCATTTAACTGTGGCATATTCTAAATTTCTTGGATTCTTGTTGTGCCTATTAAAGTTGTTCACTTCCTCACTAAGACAGCCATTTCCTTTCAACTTTCACCTGTTTGTTTTGTGTTTAGAATTGAGTGTCAAGAAAGATATGCCCAAAGTTGTCATTCAGCAGGATCTCCTAGAGCAGCCAAGCAGAGATACTGAGCAAATCAGCACCAGCGAAGCACCCTCAATATCTGAGGAGGAGTTTGATATGGAAGACCAGGGCTTTGGTCCCGTTATTATGCCATCAACCACCGACACTCCAGGTCTGAGTCTCCAAGAGGTCATGCCGGAGTATGAGGAGGAGCTACCGGAGGAGGATGTCTCAGAGGAGATGGCTGTTGAGGTCATCGATGGAGTGGAAGTGAAGGTCCCTCTGAAAAAGAAGGTGACACCAGCTAAAATCTCATCGGAAGAAGCAGCATTCGAGCTGAAACCAAGGCGTACCTCAGAAGATGTGGCTGCAGGGTTCAAGATCGGCATCCCATGTCCTGGCAAAGAGGCAGAAGCTAAAGTGACTCTGGAAACACCTTTGGAGAGGACAGAGACAGAGATTCCGATTGAGGCAGCTCCCAAGGAGCTGGAGGAGGTAGAGTTCAAGGTGCCTGTCCCTGAGGAGAAAGCTCCTCGTGCTCCCGATGAGGTAGATGTCGCGGTGACCATCTTACCCAAGGAGGAACAGCCAGAGGAAGCCGCCCCTGCTTTTGTCCAGCCTCTTAAACCTCAGGAAATCACACCACACACCGAGACCAAGCTAGTCTGCCAGGTAATTGGGAAACCCATGCCCAGTGTCAAATGGTACCTAGATGATGTGGAGCTGTTGCCAGAGGATAAGCACTATAAAATGGAGCAGCTTGAGGATGGAACCTGTACCCTGACAATCACCGACGTCCTGGCCGAAGATGAAGGTGCCTACTCTGTAAAGGCATTCAATCCTGCTGGCAGTGCTGAAACAGAAGCTGAGATTCTCATAGCACCAGAAAGTATGTATTTCTCATTTTCAAAGCAGCGTTTCCTCATAATAGCCACTCAATGTGCTCAAAGTGTCCATTGCTTTAATAACGATGCAAATAACTACTTTAACCACTTGTAATAAGTGGTACAGTGGAACGCCGCTATACCGAACACCGCTATAATGGACATTCGGCTGTACTGAACATCACCCTTGGCTCCTAATATTTTGTGCACAAAACCTACCGAACATCATGCCGTTGCCGGTTATATTCCCGAACGTCAACTTGATAAAACAGTCAGTTTTTTTATGTTGGAAAGTGACAAATGGCCATTATTTCCCCAAGGATTAGAGGGGAAAGCCACCAGCTGTTGAAGATTTAATTGTAATTAACTAGCTGATCAACTGGGTACATTGTTCTGCACTTGTTCAAAGTCGTCTTCTAGTAACGGCCAGAGTATGCACGGCTAATCTGCGAATGGTATTGAATGGACACTGGTTTTGCGACTCTGCATGATCGAGTGCAGAGGAAAACCACACGCACACCGTGGTGTTGCACTAAACATCACTCTAAAGCATTCATCAGAGATTGATCCTGTATGGTTGCTTCACGACTTTTAGGATAATCTTGAAATCAATTTTGTAACTTAAGATTTAATAAAAAACAAAACAATTTTTACAAATACATTTTTAGAAACCTTAAACTTGAATGCAATGGCAAAACATCACAGAAACAGCAAACCGTAGTATCACAAGAGGGTGCTCTTCAGTTAGACAAGAGAGGTAGCTATTCAACATGGCAACGAAACATTCGGCAGTAAATTTTGCTATACCGAACAACCGCTGTACTGAACATTTAGCGTGGACCCTGTTGTGTTCATTATAGGGGCGTTCCCTTGTAAAAGATTTTTCATTATATCACAGCAAATTAAATTTGTGCTGTAGTGAAGGAGCTATTTCTCGTGGGCAATGTAGCAAGCAAATTAGGGGATATTTTGGTCAAAAACTCTTCAGTTTCTCTGCAGTGCTACAGTTTTTAATTTGGGAATGGATATGTCTAATTTCACCGCTCTAACATCATTTGGCAAAAGGTATATGTGCACATTTGCTTTAACCTCTCACTTAACCGCTACTAACAGCCAAAAAACAACCATTTGCCTTCAACACTTTCAGAGAAACCATCTGAAATTACTCCGGTCACTGAAGAGATCACAGAGGCTCCCAAGTTTGTTGAAGACATGGTTGACATGGAGATCATCCGCGGTCACCCTGTCCAGTTTGACGTCCAGGTCAGCGGCATTCCCATGCCCACCCTGACTTGGTTTCGAGATCGGAAGGAGATCCAACCAAACGAGCACTTTGCCATCGAGTTCAACGAAGAGGAAGGTTTCGGTTCCCTCATCATCCAAGAGGTCTTGAGTGATGACGATGCGGAGTACACCTGCAAGGCCACCAATAAGGCTGGCCAGGCAATCTCTAAGGCTGATCTCTTCTTGCAGCCCGCTCACAAGAAGGAACCAGATGAACACCCTCCCCTGTTTATCACACCCCTGAAACCAATGAGTTGCATCGAGGGTGATTGCGTCAACTTCGTCTGTAAGGTCTTCGGCTCTCCTGAACCGGATATAACTTGGTACAGGAACGATGTCGAGATCAAGCTCAGCCCTAAGGTCTCTATGGATTACGACGAGTCTGGTGTTTGTACCCTCTTGATCAGAAATGTAGTCATGGAGGATGTCGGCACCTATTCCTGTAAGGCTGTGAACATCGCTGGCGAGATGTCCACTAAAGGGGAACTCGTTGTAGAAGGTAAATCAGCAATATTCATCCTTAAGAACCATATTAACTCCCTGTGTTTCACTGTTGCTTCTCTGAGTGACGATGACTGTTAAGCTAGCTGCATGCTGCCTTGCTTTGAAACTCTGGTGTGAGGTTGACTTACAGCACAATCTATGGGTGTTTCAGCAGTGTGACCTAAGCTGTTGTTTTCCTGTCAAATATTTTGTGGTTGTGCTTCATAGTAGTAGAGCTAGAATTCTGTTGTTATAATTTTTTTTATCTGAGTTTGCATCCTTGAGACCTAATTTCGGAAATTTCTGGATGATGTTATGTACAGCTACTGCCTGTGAATCGCTCACAGAGCGGTTTTTCAATTTTGGCTCATGAACTGTTTGTATTGGACATAGTCCAGGTTTTCTTGGGAGCAGGTCTCACTTTTAATAATTCTAAATTTCCTCTCCGAAAGCTCATTATTTTCTTTAACCTTGAATGTGAATAGTTTTTGAAGGCTTGTGTTAATAACAGTGATTCTGTTTCTATGTAAAGAGGTGGAGGCATGGAGCTTTATTTTCTACTGTTTATTTTATTTTCATATTTGTGTTGCAATGTGAAAAAAATTCTTTTTTAACTTCTATCGCACTGTTAGATATAATAACTGAAGTATGCTTACTTTTAATACTGTGTGTAGTATTTCTGGATTTGCCCTTTTTATATTACTAACTTAATGTTAGAAATTTTTTTTTAGCATTAATGATAGTAATAAACTTTTGGTAAATACTGATTTGATATTACTTTGGTTTCTTTTGTGTGCTTGCATTTTTAACACTAGGCTATAATTTTCTGCTCTTACCAAGGAATTAAATCACTGAAATGTTGGCAAAAACATGTTGGGAATAAAGTCATTTTCAGTTTATACATGCTATGGTGTTGCATGCTTTAATAGTTTTTCAGTGTTTAATCTTCATTTTGATGCATGTGCATGCTTGTAAATAACCAGGAGTGCACCAAGCAGTGTATTCACACATAGATGCTGTCCTTTTCTCGTGAAATTATTGTCTTATAAAGAAGGAAGTGTCATTTCAATTTGGATAAAAATGCTTAAGAAAGAGATGTCATTTTGAAATGGTAATTATCATTTCCAGTTGCGTGAAGATATATTCTTTGAATTTGAAGTGTGTTTTGAATTTGCATGTAACAGAGTTGAGCTTGTGGATAAGAAAAGATAACAAGTTTAGCACTAACCATCGTTTACCATTTTTACCCTTGTCCTGAGATTGATTTTCTTTTCTCTGTTTACCTCCAACCCTTTTTTACCCTTGCCTGTTCCTCTCTCCTACTCTGTTCCTTCATCTCCAGGTGATGTCTTGTATATTGACAGGGTTGATCCCGATAACAGTTACATGTTGGTGTATTTGTGATGGATCCTACCTGACCCCTTAGCATGATTTTTGCGTGGTGTGGTCAAACCTTAGAATTCTTTGAAAATAAAAAAACCTGCAAAACATATATATTTTGAGGAATAAGTTTCAAGTTTTATAGACTCGTAGATTTTTAAATACAAATATTTTTGGTATCCTGGTTACAGGTAGAGTTCCTGGAACAGGTAGAGTTCCTTTTGTTTAAACAACGTAGAAAATTTCAGATGCCAAATGCTGTATCAGCAGTTTGTTGGAAGAAAATTACTAATTTTCTGCACATTGTTAATTAAATGAGGCTGTGGAAAGAGTTTATAAAGCAGCATTCATGAATACCTCAGACAGTTTGCCTATTCAACAACGCGCAACTTGACTGTGTATTAACATTTGATAATGCCCGCTGAGAAGTGATAATGCCCGCTGTGTAAATCATGCACTGTCACCTGGATACAGTACAGTTTTATCGATTCTGATTGGTCAAAAGTATGTGTGCACACGGCTCGCCACTCGCACGCCCGGTCCATTTAAGGAGATTCTTTTGGACAACTTGCACAAGGAATATACAATAAAATAGATAGGGGTGTTTGGGAAAATGAAAGTAAAATTCTAAAACAGAATTGTTGGAAATCCGTCATAACTTCTTTTGACTCTTTGACTGAAAAGGTATTTATGAATGGGAACAAATATTGCTTAATACCAGTCCAGGAGACTGAACGCTGATAATGCCCTTGCCTGCAGCTCGGGCAATAGTCGCATCCATTCTTCTGAGCCAGTCTTAAACGCTCATTTAAGACCACTCAAGCACGTATTTATTACCGTATTAAAGGTACAGATACCCAGATATATATGGCACTCATCAACTTTCCCTATGTAATCTGAAATGATAAATGTGAGAAACATTGAATGACATTCAGATTAGGTATAGTTAGCTTGCATTTTAAACATTTCTGCATCTTAAATGGATGCTAGCCATATTGATTTTAATCAGTTGACAGCATTTCCACTTTTGAATAATTGAAGTATGCATCAGCATTTGATATCCCGACGTATGCCAGTTGCTTTTACTGAAAGGGCTTCTATTTGTTTTTACTTGAACTTGGTGACAGTACACTCTACATGCATGTATGAGAATTAAGAAACAAATATACCATGAAAGTGTAGTTAGCTACATGTGTGTGTGCAAGCACTGTAAAATCATTAACATTGTAACCACAGAAATATCACTGTTAATCTTAATTATCAGAAGTTAGCTCAAGGAATCATGATAGATATATGTCTGCATAAAGAAAATGGTGTAAGAAATAAATTGGTTGTGGAACTAGTTATGGTGTAGGCTGAGTGATGATTTGCTGAAAACTTGTGCAGATTTCTTTGATTCTTTTTTTAATATATGCATTACTGAATGCTGCAAAGGTTTTCTTCATAAGAGCAAAGAATAGGAAGGAACATTTAGAGTATGTGTCAGGATGTTCCTTTTAAGAATAGAAATGATGTTTGATCAAGCAGAAATGAAGACCTTTGAACAAGAAACAACTACACAGATTATAGTCTAGGATATATATTATTATATTCTCAGTTACCCGCCGAAGCACATAATCATGAGTACTCAATATATCATACAAGTATGTGCGACTTAGTTTATACTTTCATATTAGTGGAATTGTAGTCAATATTCAGCTATTGAACAGACATTACTTTAGTTTCACTTTAGGTACAAAATATATATGGTATGCGGGTTGTTTTATATGGAAATATAGCAATATTTGGCATGTAGCGATTGCATTGTATATGTTTAAAATTTCAGCCTTCCAAGTTGAGTGCTGTTGAATTATTTTTATGCCTTGAATATTTGTATAAATTTTTTGTATGATAATGCACATTCCAAATAATCACATATAATAAATTTGAATTCAATATTGATATTGTACCGTACATGAAATATGTTAATTAAAGCATGAATGGTTAAGCGGATCCTGATTTTTCCAATTTGAAATGCTTGACAATGTTGTTTGTTCCGAAGGAAAAACGTGAATGGTGATGCAGAGTAGTTGGTATATTTTGCTCACAATTTTATGGCTTGTTTCAAATTAAACAACAACCGTTTTGCATCACTGTTCATGAGTTAAAATTTTCGTTTTTGATTTGCATGGAATGTCAAACGTCAGTCAGCTTCTGTTTTGTTGCCTTTTTGTGTTTAGTTTAGCTTCTATTTCGGGATTTTGAGACCAATTGACCTCATTTTGTACAGCTTGTTACTAGCTATTTTCCTCTATCGAATAACCTAAGCATGGCACCAGTATGGACTGTGTCAAATGTTATGTGGAAGCTGTCACCCTTTGTGAGTATCTTTAGTGATTTCTTTGTAATAACTGCAGCGGAGTTTGTAACTGCATGATCATGATAACATCACATTGTACTGGAGTCATTCTAACCCCATCTGCATGATTTTGGGTGGATTCGGAATGACCCTTTGTGAAATCAAACCTTTGCATCTTTTTCAAGGAAAAAAATGCTTATGCAAGAAAAAGTTGAAAGTTTTGCATAACTGATTTTGCAATGACCCAATTTTTGGTACCACCTTGGATTCACTTGTCATTTTATTTACAGTTTAGTTGAAAGGGCACCTCTTGGGCCAACTGTTCTGTATTAATATTCTGGTTACAGGTTTTCTTTTAAATTGAAACTCATCAGAAAAATTTCTTACCTTTGCTCTTGGTTTTGACTTGTTGCTTGCAAATCCTGACCATCTTGACCATCTTGCTAGTGTGGAATATAAGATTAGGTTATCATCTCAGATAGTCATCAAAAATATTCTGGTGTTGAAGGAGATTTTCTAGCCTTTTTTTGTGCACGATGGTTCTGAGTTTAACATTTATTGTCATCCCATGAAATTTGAAATTCAGGGGTACAGATCGAGGTGGGTTTTTAATGAACGATTGGTTCTGTCATTGCTGCAGTTTGCCAGTGTTCAGTCACTGTTTATGGTTTGCTGTGTAAATGATGTGGCACATTTGCACTACCTTCCTTTCCTGGTCCACTTGTCATGCTTTTCACTTTTATTTCAGTATCTTGATAATGTCATCAGTTTTCATGAGACAGAATATAGAGGATGTAGTTTCTCATGTAGTGATATAGACTGTGGTTTTACATTTCTAGGAAAACAAATTTGCAGAAATGCATCACATCATTTGAGTTCTAATCTAGGATGAATTTTACTGATAACTGACACATTGAAGAAAAACAAGCAGATCTCAAAACTGTGGAAACTGTTGAAGGAGATTTATTTAACTGTTTTGTGGTTAAGCTGATGGGTTTCAGTGTTCAATCTAATCTCAGAACTCAGTGTTTAACAGCTCAATTCATTTCACGAGTTTAACCTCTCAAAGCATACTCACCGTTTAGTAATTTGCTTGCAACATTGTAAGACCTGTCTTTATAAACACATTGAATACTCTGTTAAAAACCCTCTGTCTAACTTTCTTCCCTGTCCCTTATGACATCAGTCCCGGCCAGCATCCTGGAGGGCCCCGAAAGCCTAACCGTCAGACGAGGTGTACCTGCCAAATTCACCTGCAAAATGGGCGGTGTGCCCAAGCCTAAGATCCGCTGGACGCACAACGACAAGACTGTCAAGCACACCAAACGGGTGTACACGGAGAGGACAGAGTCCAGAACAACGCTGGTCATCACAGAGACCGAGCCGGAGGATCATGGGAGGTACAACGTGGCCGTGGAGAACTCTGCAGGCACTGACGAGAGATATGTTACCCTGACAGTGATAGGTAATTCAAGCCATCCAAATTTCAATCACGTGACTCTTTCGCTGTTTCACATGCCATAACACTTCAGTAGTTGCATTGCAGTGGTAAGGAGCATTGGCTAAGTGAAATACACCATTGTTATTTCAATAAAATCAAAGAGGACACCCATGCCTTTTTCTCTGATATGTGACATGTACATCACTTGAAACTGAAACACGCATGCAGAGAAAAGCCACTAAAGCTGTTCTAAAGATTTTTATCTCATCTCTGATAAACAGTGACTTAGAAGCCTATAACATTATAGGAAATATATATACAAGTTGTCGCATGAATACAAAAATATGTTGAACCATTTCAAAGTAGTTAATTTTCAAATGTCTTTTTGTCTTGATCTTGACCCACAGACGTTCCAGACTTGCCGAGCAAACCTAAAGCCACTGATATCTCTGAGACTTCAATCACCTTGACCTGGACCAAGCCTCTCTATGAGGGAGGGTTGTTCATCACTGGCTACATAGTGGAGTTAATGGAGGTCGGCAAGCACACCTGGATAACGGTAGAAAGTGAGATACAGACAACCACCTACACGGCCGTTGAGCTGACGCCAGGAACTGAATACCTGTTCCGGGTGATGGCTGTCAATGATGAGGGAATGAGCAAGCCTAGCACATCTGAGGTCATCATCACACTTGAAAAAGGTTGGTTTCCTTCACAGTGGAAGAGGTTTACTTGAGGTTCATGTTCATTCCTAATTAGACTAAAAGGTAGTAGATTAAAGTCAACGGAAAGAGAAAATTTAGATTGATATTGATAACATAATAGTGTTTTATTAAAGGTTTACAGACTTTTGATAAAGGACAACAAATTATTTTAATTTTTCTGTTGTGAGCCCCTAAATACCTGCCATTTCTTTGATCATGTTAAAACGTGTATATTTGCCAAATTTCAGACACTAGATTCCCATCAATTGTGTAGTCAGTCATGTTGTCCTTGAGCAAATTGAGACTTTTGAGGTTCACCTTGAAAACAGCAAAAGTGTTGAAATAGCATCTATGTCACTGAATTTGTTACAGATACTAAACCCAAACCAAAGGAGGAGGCTAGACCTGACCAGCCTCTGGCTAAGACTGCAGAGCTGTTCCCCACCGAAGGTACGCTAAGCCTGGCTGATTTTCTGGAATGGGATGTTGTTGCATTTCTGGCAATTTTTGTTTCTGTCAGCTACGTGTTTTTATTTTTGTTGTTTTGAGACACTTTGCATGTTGAAAATCTCATTGCATTGGCAACATACTGAGAAACATTTCTGTTTACTTGTCAAAACTTCAGATGTAATAAAATGAACGTTCACAGTTTCTTCTCGTTCAATCCATGTTTGCAGTTTGACATTTGAATCAAAAGCTATGATGAATTCCTAGTTGAACAATTTTGGAAGTAATTCTGTGAATTTTGCTTTTTGTCTGGTAAGAAAATTCTCCATGTAAATACAGTTGGTTTCTCAGTGTGCAAAGTGAACACAACCTTGAGCTTTATGAGTCTTAAAGTTTTATGTTCTACTAACATTGAAATATTTGTTTTAGTTTAGTGCTTTCTAACAGATAAAGTCATTAGGCAATAAACTTATACATGATCATCATTATTCAAATGTCTATTCAGATGTACATTTAGTAAATGTTCTGAATTCGTTGTAATGATTGGTCCAAACTAAAAAGAGCAATATTCATTCCAAGAATTTTTTTATTACCACGGACTGATATTAATATCGTACAATATTTTTGAGAAGAAATCATTACTTTGCATCTTAAATTTTTAAAATGTAAATAGTAGAATTTTTATAGCCACTTAAAAGTTATATTTAATCCCTTTTGATCAAAATTGTAACTCAAATATTTATGGTTCAAATTATTTGCCATCTCAAATTTCTTGAATAATTTCTTTCTCCAATATGATTCCAAGAAATGTTACCCTCATTTGAATGTTTTACTAACAGAGCTATGAAAAGCACATTTATTTGCTATTAATTGTGCATGAACTTATAATTGTATGAAGTTGAATTGTTTTTGTGAACTTTTATTTTTAAATAAGAAGCTACGGTTTGGTTATTGGCTATTGTTCGTTAGTCGCAGCTTATTACATCAAATGTATACAATTAAAAGTATGGATTTTTTTTAAAGATAAGTTTCCTTCTAAACATCAGGAACACTCAGGTTAACTTGACTATCTGCATTAATTATATTGTCAGCACAGCTTGATTTTAGTTTAGTTTTGTTTGCATTTGCTGCTAGAGTTTTTGCAAAGAATGTATCGTCTTCATTAGTTCAAGCTGATAGAAAACATAAAATTTCGCCTTAATTCAATGCACAAATTTTCTTTATATGAATATTATTACAGATGAATTGACTGTTAAGTTTTATTTCTTAATTTTAAAGGGGGATTGCCGCTTTCAGTATAAATTTGCCATATTGAACAGCAGGGTTGGGCCTGCATTTATTTGAAACAAATAGATAAAAGACTGATGTATATTGGAATCAAAATATCTTATTTGAATAATATTCCAGACTTCTGTGAAATCTCAGTTTGTACATTTATCAGTAAAGAATACAAAGTAAAGCTTCTTTTCTTTCCAACTGTTCACCTCTTTGTAATGTAAACCAGTACAATGTTAATTTACAGTATTCTTTTTTATACTGAAACTTAGCTAATATTTGATCATAAGAAAATAAGAGATCATTAGGGCTTCAGTGGCAGCCAGAGAAATCCCACTCAAAACAGTTTGGAACAATTCATTTAATTCGAAAGAAACCTGAGCAAATACTCCATTGCAAGGCTCTCTGAATACATAATACATGAGAAGGAACATTGTCGCATGGTCGGGATTTAAGATGCTACATCTCTCATCTCTTAGAGATCCCTTTACACTTTGCAAAATTATGTGAACAGATTCACAGTGACTCTTAAGAAGTTTAATAGTAACTGAATATTTGTCAGTGACAGAGCAAGAAACTAGGGCCAAAATATATGCAGTTTGTAGTATCCCAGTCCATGGTGTCAAATGTGTTTTTGTCATAAGTGTAATTTGTATGCCATTGCCCACTGTTTGTAGTCTTTGTTTTGTCCTTCACACTTGATTGTGCATGGGACCACTGAATGAGATGTAATTGGAGCACTTTGTGACTGGGAATTACGTAAACAGTGTATTTTACATTTAGCTAACACTTGTCGTAATGTCCAAGTAACCATGTATTCTGAGCTTGGGTTGCAATATATGCATTTTGAAGTTAACAAGTTTGCCTTGTTTCTTTTGTTTGTTTGTCCTTTTGTGTGCAGAATACTTTAATTGTAATTATGTTGTTAGCATGAGCACCTGAAATATTAACATATCCTTACCTTTTGAAGTGTGAATTTTTTCAACTATTTAGGATCAGTACCTTGATCAACTTGTTACAGGCAATGAAAAATATGATAGATTTAGTGAGTTTTTTGCATGTGAGTCAGAGAATTAAGATGGAACATCTGCAAGAAAATATCTCACATCGTAATAAACTTGGAGAATTTTTATTTAGATAAACATGCAAATAAACGTGCAGATCATTCCTATACGGGTGATGCACAATAGTTTGCCTCCAAGAGTTTGCAATACAGTGGCTAATTATGATGTGTGAAATCTGTTGACCCAATGCCCGTTTGGAAAGGGTCAACAGATTTTGCACATTGTGATTGCCAACACGTTGCATGCTATTGAAGGTACTCTGTTGTGAATTGTCCCTATTGTGGGTGGTGGGTTATGAAAGAGTTTGGGGAGCCAAGGGGGTCTTTGGGAATGTGGAAAGGAATTTTGAAATTTATTCATCAAAGTATAAGCCAAAGTGGATCAGGCAGGGGTTTGACACTAACTTTTACTGGGATTATCTGTAGACTCCTCAAGCAGTTCACACAACAGTAGCCAGTTTCCAGTTTCTTTATTCCCTTATTCCGGCAATTCCAATATGAAAAAAATAGGATGTCACTAGGTGACAGACAACACAAGACCGGAATTCATGAACATTTTCCACAGTTAACATCTAAATTCAGAACGAAAACGACAATTCCATTAACTACGGGTAAGTGAAGAGCTTAAAGCTCCCTGAATCACATCCCACCTGTGTTTTTCTACCATTTTAGAATTGGGTTCTTTCATTCTCCCACTCTTGGTTCCATCAACCATTCTAATTAATGGTGTAACACTGTGCCAGAAATTGAGGGGATTACATCCAGCAAGAAATGAGACCGAGGGGTACCCCCAACATGTCCAATCGCTATACACACTATAGACCATTGTTACCTAACATGTCCCCCTCAGTGCCCGAAAAGAATTCCTCAGATTCCAGTGAAACAATGACCAAAACAAAGCAGGGGGCTCCTCTCCGTCTCATATCTTGCTTCATATGGGGGATGGGGAAAGGTGGGGTGATGACTTGCATAGCCATGAGAATGTTATATTTATATACATCTATACTGTGCATTCAGAATGGCACATTTATGGCTTTTTAAAATTGTTTTCCCTGATTCAAGTGATACTGAATGCATTTTAGTTGTCAGAAGTCAGGAAAATTCTCACAATCTGCTTTAATTTTTTGGTCACCACAAAATGTGGGGCAATGATCCATAGCCCCCACTTAAAAAAAGGGGGGGATATAGTCCCATCCCAGGGATTCTCACCCATGATTCCAATGACCAAATCAAATGTATTTCCTTGATTTCGAATCATCTGTACGTTCATTATTGTAATCCTTTCACAGAAGCTGAGGTTACTGTTGAGGTCATGGAAAGTGAGAGATCTGTGGACATTGAGATAGAAGGCACAGCCCCTACAGAGGCGGTTTCCTTTGAAATATCAAGTGGAGAGGTCTCAGTGGAAGGCCTACCAACTGAGGATAAAGCAGTTGTGATCCGTGCACTTCCATCTCAGCCTGCACCCAAAGAAAAGGAAGAGAGACTCCTGTCTGTAACAGAGGAGGAATTCGAAATAGCCACTACTGTCAAAGTAGCTCCCTCTGAAGAACTTGAAGCTGAAGAACTTGAGGTGTTCGAGGAATCCCAGCCAGTTCCGGATCAGAAACCGGGCACAGAAGCTGTGACAGTTGAAGTTGGCAAGATGCCATCTGTTATCAGAGTTGACTCTGTCGAGAGAGTACCTCTTCCAGTCAGGGAGCGCATGGAGTCGTACCCAGAAGAAGAGCTGTCTGAGGCATCTGTCATCAAATTAGTTCCTGAGAGAGAGGAAGAAGCAGAAGTCCTGCCTGAAGAGGAACTAGACCAAGCAGCAGCAGAAAAGATTAAAGAAGTTCCTGCTGATAAGGCCGTGAAGAAGATTGTCCAACCAAAAGAAGCACCAGAAGAAGTTTCCTTGATTCAACCCAGGAAGCCCCTGGAATCAATGACGGAAGAAGAGCTTCAAGAGGCTGTTACTGTTGAGCTTGCTCCCAGGGATGAGTACGAGGCTGAGAAGATAACACCTGAACAACCTGCAAAGCTACGTCCACAGAAATCAGTTGAAGAGGTAGTGCCTTTGGATCAGGTTGAAAAACAGAAAGCCTCTGTCATTAGAGGTCCAGCTGAGATGACAGCAGCCCCCTCTATCCCAACTGTCGAGAGGCTAGGATCTGTCTCAGAGGAAGAACTTGCTGAGGCAACAACAAAGCAGTATATCCCCGATGACATTGAGGAGGCAGCTGAACTTCCAGAATCAGTGACAGTTGATGTCACTGCTGAAGAAATCTCAGAAGTTGGTGTCACAGTCAGCAGTGTGTCCAAGAAGAAGCCAGCATTGATCACCGCCACTCCCCAAGAAGTGGAACTGACGAAAAAGCCTTCTCCAGATTCACAAGAAGCAATCATTTCACTCAAGAGACTTGGTTCTGTCACAGAAGAAGAACTTAGAGAAGCTGCTGTAAAACCTTTTCCAGAGAAAGAAGAGGAAGCTGAAGTTTTTGTGAGTGATGAAGTTACAGAAGCAGTACCACAGGAGCTTCCTAGTGAAGCTGCTGACAAGGCAGGAAAAAGAGTTCCATCTGTCAGAACAGCTCCTGAAGAGGTGGCCATAGTAAAACCTGTCAAGAAACCTGTAGCTGTTAGGGAAGAGGACAAGGAACAGATTGATCTTGTGTATGAACGGACAGAGTACCTGGATGTCGTAGAGGAGGAAGATCTGAAAGAAGCTGCCTCAAAACAACTGCCTTTTGAGAAGGAAGGCGAGGCTGAAGAATTTGTGGTGGGTGAAGTTCCTAAGGCTAAACCAGAGGAGGTTCCTAGTGAAGATGTTTCTTTGGAAGTTGTGTCAAAGAAAAAGCCATTGCCAGTCAGAGAGGCTCCAGAGGAAGTCACAGTTACAAAGCCAAGACCAAAACTGGATTCATATGAGGAAGAAGAGCTTCAAGAGGCTGCAGTTGTAAGAGTTGCTTCAGAGGTGGTTGAGGAGTACGAGGATCTTCCAATAGAGGAAACAGAGGCATATTCCCCCGAAACAGCAACTGCAGCAGTTGACAGAGCTTCCAAAAAGCAAGTGCCACTGAGAGAAGCACCAGAGGAGGTGACACTTGAGCAACCCAAAGCTCGCATGGCTTCTTTTGATGAAGAAGACCTTAAAGAAGCAGTTTCAATCAGTGTCACCCCTCGAAAGGAAGAGGAAGCTGAAGTCTTGGTAGATTTGGCAAAACCAGAAGAGACAAAATCTGAGTCAATGCCTTCTGTTGATGTTTCATTAGAGGTTTCCAAGAAGCCTGCTTTTGTCAGGGAAGCTCCCGAGGAGGTTCAAGTAAGGAGACCCCTTGCAAAAATGGAATCTGTGGAGGAGGAAGAACTTCGAGAGGCTGTGACAGTAAGGGCTGTACCTCAGAAGGAGGAGGATTTAGATGTTGTTGCCCCAGTTGAGATACCGGAGGAGGTTGCCCCAGTTGAAAAAGATATTCCCGGGACAGTTTATGAGAGGAAACCAGTCGTCATCTCACATCCATATGAACCAGAGCCGGAGTATTTGCCATCTAGAGAGTTGCTTGAGACTCTCCCGGAGGAACAGCTTGAGACAGCTGTTACAGCAAGAATAATTCCTCGAGATGAATTTAAAGCTGAGGCACTGCCTTCTGAAGAAGTGTCACCAGCAGCAGCGACACCGGACAAAACACCAGGCGAAATTTCCCTAGATGTTGGCAAAAAGCCTCTTGTCCATAGCATACCCGAGGTAGAAAAGGGTCCACAGCTGTTAGAGGTGGAAGGGATTACAGTAGAAGACTTGGAGTCACAGGAGGCCATGGAGGTGGTTGTTGAGGAAGAGGGAAAAGCAGTGGAGCTACCTGTTGCACCTGTCATTACTGACAAGTTCAAGAGCAAGGTAAGTTTTGAAAATGTCATTTACCTTACTTTTCATGCACTGAACTACCAGTCGCTTTCATTAAAACTAGTTCCATTTACATAAATAAGGAGAAATTGGAGGTGTTTTTCCAAAACATTTTTTTCACCTGACATTTTGCCACTTGGACAGGAGAATGAGAACATCAAGTATTAGTCCAATTACTTGTTATCCAAATTGAATGTAAAATGTTTTTTGAGGGGGGCGAAAAGGCCTCATCCTAAAAATCGTCATCAAATAATCGTGTTTATTGATTTTAACCTTGGATCTGCCTTTTTTTTGCAGAGTGTCAAAGAAGGTAAACCTGTCAAATTTACCTGCACAGTCACTGCCACACCGGATACTAAAATTCAGTGGTTCCAGTAAGTCATGGTTTTGCTCACTGCATCAAGAGAGAGGATTATCACTTTTTCAATCCCCCTTTTCCACTATTTTTTATGATCTTTAACTCTGAAAATATAAATTTCTTTTTTGGTAAATTTAATGGAAAATGCCGAGAATTATTACTTTTCAGACAGCACACGCGGCCAAATTTTAATGGTAATCTTATTTTGATCAGTTTATGTTTCAAGGAAATCTACATCTGTCAGTGATTTGTCTTTTAACGGAAGCAGTTTGGGCAAGTTTACAAAATAGCCACATAATTGCTGCTTTATGTGTATGAATGTTCTGAAGTCTTTATGATGATGTTCAGTCTTAGCTATATCTTGCGGATTGGATTTTCTTTAGTCATTTGTTTATTTGTGTTTTTTTAAGTGAACAAAAACTTCTTGAGTCAACAACCAGGCACATCCAAACCTTTGAAGAAGGAGTTGCAACTCTTGAGATCCCACAGCCGAGGCCTAAGGATGTTGGTGAATACAAGTGCATTGTGGTTAATGTAGCTGGCGAAGATGTCTGCTCAGCTAAGCTCACTGTCACAGGTAAGACCTTGGATTTGAAGTTCCACATATTTCATTCATCACGTATTAATTGAGATTTTCTCTTTCTCAGTTTTGTCAGCCAATATTTGAAAGCTTAAACTAGATATAGATATTCCCAGCACTCCCAATAGCCTATCATGTGACTGTAGTAAGTCAAATATCAATTAAACGATTTAGGTTTGTTTTGCAGTAAATCCAGCAGATATCTTGTAGGCCCTTTCATTTCTCAGTAGCATTGTTGCCCCTTAAAATATGTATATATGCATAACTCTATTTCCAAGGATAGTTTTCACCGGGGAGATGTTAATTAATTTTAGATATTTACCCTGCCCAACATGTATACGTCGGTTAGGGCAAGAATCTAAAATAAAGTAAATGCACATTCCTTTTAAGACAAAAGCATGACCTCAAAGATGAATTTGTTAACTTTTTGGTTTAATTAACTTATATTTGAGTTATTCTGTACCTTACAGAAGTCAAGCAAGCTCCTTCTTTCACGGAAAAACCTGAAGTCCCTGAGACCCCCGAAAGTAAGTTTGCTATGCATTTTCTTGTGCATAGAATTGTTTCAAAATAGTTTGAAGGAAAGACATCCAAAAGGAAAAATAATAATGCCAAGACAGATTTGGTACACTACTATTTGGTAATTTCTTTTCTTTCTGTAGCCACTGATGCTGTTTTCAGATGCAAAGTTGATGGCTTCCCCAAGCCCGCCGTCACATGGAACAAAGGATGGAAACAAATAAAAACAGGAGGGCGCTTCTCAATCTCATTTGATGAGGATACAGAAGAGAGCATCCTCACGATTAAGGAAACAACTTCAGCAGATGCTGGAAAGTACACCTGCTACCTCAAGAGTCCTCTTGGGGAAGACAGCGCTTCCGTGAGTCTCAAAATCACTGAAAAACCCAAAGAGGAACTAGCTGAACAAGTGCCTGTAGAAGAACTGGAGGAGGTTGAGGTTCTCATGGAGATATCTAAGCCTAAAGAAATCAGCCCTGAAGTTGTACCTGTTAAAGGGCCTGAAGAGATACTTCCTGAAAAGAAGCCAACTGTAAGAGAAGCTCCTGAAGAGGTCGAGAAAGTTCTCAAGCCTCAAGTTTCTTTAGATGCTGTCTCAGAAGAAAAGCTAGAAATTGCAGGGGTTGCCAAAGTGCCGGACACTGAACATGTTCAGATTCTTGTTGAGACTGGAAAGCCTGAGGAAGTCGTTGTTGAACTTGCAGAAGCTCCAATAGAAGTAACTCCTGAAAAGAAGCCAGCTGTTATTTCCGTGCCAGAAGAGGTAGTGGCCAAAGTACCAGCAACTCAGACAGCAATGGAAGCTGTCGTGGAGGAACAGCTGGAAACGGCAGTTATAGCTAAGTTTGTTCCTAATGAAGAAGATGAAGTTGACGTTCTGGCTGAGATCAAGAAGCCTGAGGAGATCACACCTGCTGTTGTTTCCATCGAAGAAGCTCCTGAGCATATCAAAACCAAGAAGAAGCCATCATTCATTATTGCCTCTGAGGATGAAGTCTCCATCAAGCCAAAACCTAAACTTGCACTTGAAGGGGTCACTGAGGAAAAGCTGGAAACAGCTGTAACAGCAATGGTGGCACCTCAACCAGAAGAACAAGTTGAAGTCTTGGCTGCATTCATGAAGCCAGAAGAAGCTGTTCAAACTGAGGAGGAGATTCCTAAAGAGGTTAAGCCAGAGGAAAAGCCTGCCATCATATCAACCCCAGAGGAAGTGGTTGCTGCAGCACCTGCACCACAGGAATACCTTGAGATAGTTGCTGAAGAGGAATTGGAGACCGCTGTTACCAGAGTTGCTCCTCAACCTGAAAATGAAGCTGATTTGCTTCCAGCTGTTCAGAAGGTCACTCCAACGGAAGCTGTTGAAGCAATAACCCCATCAGAGGTAACTCTTGATGTCCCTGAGAAACCACCAACTTTGAGAGGTTTACCAGAGAAGGAAATACTTCCAGAACAGCTTTTGGAAGCTGAGGTTTTCCCAGAAGAAGAAATGGAGAAACATGAGGCCGTTGAAGTTGTTGTGGAAGAAGAAGAGAAGGTCGAGGTAATGCCAGTTGCACCTGTCATTACTCACAAGTTTAAGAGCACGGTAAGTCATGCGAACAGCAAGCACATTTCTATCATCAAGAGTTCTTCGAAAGTTGACAAGATTACAGAACTTGAGAAATATATAATTGTATTAATTTGCTGCTTTTCTTTTTCCAACAGCCACTTTGTGTGTCTTATTAATTGTTTTTAATCTTTGTAGGGACGTTTCTAAATAAGTTGACAACAAATGGGAAGATGGTTGTATATTGGGTGGCTTGAAACTTTGTTCAGTGTGTCAAATAAGAGTTATGAAAAATAAAAATAATCATGCATTTTCCATTGCATTAACTGATCAGTCAGTGTTACTTTTCTGTTCAAATAATTTCTATTCGTTTTCAGACTGTCAGAGAAGGGAAGCCAGTGAAGTTTGTTTGCACTGTTATTGGAACACCCAAACCTGAGATCAAGTGGTTCCTGTAAGCATACTTATGATAACCCTAATTTTAATCTAATTCTTATAATACCATTGCAGCATTCTTTGTGAATAAATAAATTGTTTTATTTACAAACCAAACAAACAATTTCAACAAGTGTTAGTGATCAACATAAAAGAAGGGATGAAAAACCTTAACAATTTTCAAATTTCTTCATTTAGAAACAAGGAAGTACTTGAGGCAAGTGCTCGTTTCATCCAAACCTTTGAAGAAGATGTTGCCACATTGACAATTGAGCACCCAAAACCCAAGGACGCTGGAGAGTATAAGTGTGTGGTCATCAACTCAGCGGGAGAGGACATCTGTAATGCCAAACTGACTGTCACAGGTACGGCTGGTTAGTTTTTGTTTCCAAAACTGTCATGTGACAGTTGTGACCGTCTGTGTCACCACCTCTCCTACCCGTGAAGGAATAACCTGAATAATTGTCAGATAAGAAGCTTGTACTTATGTGCATTGCATATTTCCAGATTCCACTCATTTGTATTATGATTTGTGGTAACTTCACAGAAATCAAAAGAGGGCCTTCATTCACCAAGAAACCACAGGTTGAAGATACCCCTGAAGGTGAGAAGCATGCATTCATGGCTTCAAAATTCTCATAGTCCCAATGTAATCATTTTATCTCCATTCTTAAATGTTACCTTTGGTTATTCTGATTATTTAAACATTTTATTTGTTGTGTATGAAAGGAACTGAGGCAGTCTTCCGATGCAAGGTTGATGGTTTCCCCAAACCTACAGTTACCTGGAACAAAGGTTGGAAACAGATCACTACAGGAGGAAGATTCAGCATCAGCTTTGATGAGGACACTGAAGAAAGTGTCTTGTCAATCAAGGACACTGCCCCTTCAGATGCTGGGAAGTACACTTGCTATCTCAAGAACCCTCTTGGACAGGAGAGCTCAACTGTGAGTCTCAAAATCACTCCCACGCCTGAGGAGCAACTGGAGGAGGATGAGGTCACTCCCAAGCCAGAAGTAAAGCCAGAGGAGTGGGCACTTGTCCATGAGGTGGAGCAAGTTGAGGTGATACCTCAGGTTTCAAAGCCGGAGGAGGTTACACCTGAAGTGGTAACTGTTGAGGAGGTTGAAGAGAAACCGAAAGCAGTTGAAGCAGTGGTGAACGAACAAGCTGAGACTGAAGTAGCATTCAAGGTCAGGCCTCATGTCAGTGAAGAAGTAGTTCTTCCAGTTAGCACTGAGCCTGAACAAATTACTCTCGAAATTGTCCCAGAAATCACTCCAAAGCCTGAGGAAAAACCTGAGGAAGAAGACAAACCAGAAGGAAAGCCAAAGGAGCCAAATTCTTTGAAGATTCCAGAGCAAATTGAAGTTATTCTCGAGGTTCCAAAACCAGAGGAGGTTCCTACTGAAATGGTTGCTTTACAAGAAATAGAAGCACAACCTGAAGAGACAGATAAAGTCCATACTTCCAAAGTTGACATTGAAGCAGTGGTGGAGGAACAAGCTGAGACTGAAGTAACATTCAAGGTCAAGCCTCTTGTCAAGGAAGAAGTGGTTCTTCCAGTAAGCACTGAGCCTGAGGAAGTCAGTGTGGAAGTCGTCCTAGAAGAGGAGACCAAACCTGAGGAAGTTCCTGAAAGGAAGCCGACCTTCACTGTGAGTTCTGAAGAGGAAGTCAGCAAAGTTTTTAAACCTACAGTTTCTGTGAAGGCTGAGGAACAGGTGGATTCAGCAGTTACTGCCCAGTTCAAGCCTCGCCAAGAAGAAGAGGTTGAAGTGCAAGCTGCATTTAAGAGACCAGAAGAAGAAATCCCGGCAGCTGTTCCTGTAAAAATAGCAGCTGCTAAACCTAAGCCAACCTTTGTTGAAGAGGAGCTTCCTTATGCCGCTCAAGCCTATCCGGAAAAGTTGGAAGGTCTTCCAGAGGAAGAACTAGAGACAGCAGTCACTAAACATGTTGTACAACCCACAGATGAAGCTGGTGTACTTCCTTCCAGGGAGGAGGTAGTTCCTTTGACAGCTACTACCAAATTAGCCCCTACTGAGGTCTTAGACATCTCTGAGAAGAAGCCAGAAAAGATCAGAGGCTTTCCAGAGAAAGAGGCTGTGCCTGAAGAGTTGGAAGAGGTAGAAGCCATTCCAGAAGTAACATTAGGGAAGCTGGAAGCTGTGGAGACTGTCGTTGAAAGTGAAGAGAAGGTTGAAGAACTTCCTGTTGCACCTGTCATCCTCCACAAGATCAGAGACAAGGTCAGTTGCTGGAAACCACATTTTGGATTAAAATTTCGTTTTTTGTGCAAAAAACATGTCATAGTTTATCTTTTGTTCTAATCGAACAAAGAACCTGTAACTTTATATTTTTCAATCGTAATCATTACTTTATTTTGTTTATTTCATTTTCCAGAGCACCAAAGAAGGGAAGCCAGTGAAATTTACTCTCACTGTAACTGGAAGACCCCAGCCGGAAGTCAAGTGGTTCTTGTAAGATTCAATTCTGAAACTTTTGATACATAAATTTTATGTGGTCGGGGCTATGCCCTGTTCGTTAATTCCCCTTGTTAAATTCCATTTTTTTATAACTATCTGTACTCGTGTTTTCTTTCATCTCTGCAGAAACAAGGAACTTCTTGAGGCAAGTGCTCGTTACATCCAAACCTTTGAGGAAGATATTGCCACATTGACTATTGAGCATCCAAAACCTAAGGATGCTGGAGAGTACAAGTGTGTGGTTGTCAACACAGCAGGAGAAGACATCTGCAAAGCCAAGTTGACCGTGATTGGTAAATTCTTTGGGGAATTGGAATCTTGATGAGAGGGATATGCTTCAATTTTGGTCATTTTTGTTCAACACTTCCTTTTGAAAGAAATAATGTTAAGCAAAAGTACATCCATTTTTTAGCAAAAAAGTAGTTGATTCCTTTAAGTTTTTATAAGAAAAAATTAGTTTTACAGCTTTCAAGTTGCTTGCTTTGTCAGTAATCAGTAAATACTGTTGGAAATTTCATATCATTCTTTCTGAAGTGATCAGCGTTGGCATAGTTTACTTCAAATCTTGAAAATTCTTTTTTTTCACCAAAAGAAGTACCATGGAAGACTTGATTTTTAATCATGGCAATGGCTTTTTTAATCTCTGCTAACTTAGAAGTCAAAAGAGGACCATCATTTGCCGAGAAGCCACAGGTTGAAGATACACCTGAAGGTGAGAATAGCTATTTTCCCTGAAATTGTAATTTTAAGATAAAAATGCCTCAACTAAACTTTTGTTTAGTTTAAGTTTTGTTAACCTGTCATTTTTCTGAATTAAAAAAAATGTTTTTTGTTTTCATGAAAAAAGGTAATGAAGCCATATTCCGATGCAAGGTTGATGGTTTCCCCAAACCTGAAATTACATGGAACAAAGGTTGGAAACAGATTACAAGTGGAGAAAGATATGCTATCACCTTTGACGAGGATACTGATGACAGTGTCTTGACAATTAAGGACACAACCCCCTCAGATGCTGGGAAGTACACTTGCTATCTGAAGAGTCCTCTAGGACAGGACAGCTCCACAGTGAGTTTAAAAGTCACACCTAAGCCCGAAGAGAAACCTGAGGAAGAAGACAAACCAGAAGAAAAGCCTGAGGAGAAAGCTCCAGTCCCAGAAGTTGAGCAAATTGAGGCAGTGCCTGAGGTTTTGAAACCAGAGGAGGTTCCGACCGAAGTAATTTCTGTTGAGGAGGTCGAAGCAGTCCCTGAAGAGAAACCAAAGGTCCCATCAGCCAAAGTTGACATTGAAGCAGTGGCAGAGGAACAAGCTGAGACTGAAGTAACATTCAAGGTCAAGCCTCATGTCAAGGAAGAAGTGGCTCTTCCAGTAAGCACTGAGCCCGAGGAAGTCAGTGTGGAAGTTGTCCCAGAAGAGGAGACCAAACCTGAGGAAGTCCCTGAAAGGAAGCCGACCTTCACTGTAAGTTCTGAAGAGGAAGTCAGCAAAGTTTTTAAACCTAGAGTTTCTGTGAAGGCTGAGGAACAGGTGGATTCAGCAGTTACTGCCCAGTTTAAGCCTCGCCAAGAAGAAGAGGTTGAAGTGCAAGCTGCATTTAAGAGACCAGAAGAAGAAATCCTGGCAGCTGTTCCTGTAGAAAAAGCAGCCGCTAAACCTAAGCCAACCTTTGTTGAAGAGGAGCTTCCTTATGCAGCTCCAGCCTATGCGGAAAAGTTACAAGGTCTTCCTGAGGAAGAACTAGAGACAGCAGTCACTAAACATGTTGTACAACCCACAGATGAAGCTGGTGTACTTCCTTCCAGGGAGGAGGTAGTTCCTTTGGTAGCTACCACCAAATTAGTCCCTACTGAGGTCTTAGACATCTCTGAGAAGAAGCCAGAGAGGATCAGAGGCATGCCAGAGAAAGAGGCTGTGCCTGAAGAGTTTGAAGAAGCAGAAGCCATTCCCGAAGTAACACCAGAGAAGCTGGAAGCTGTAGAGGCTGTTTTGGAGAGAGAGGAGAAAGTTGAGGAACACCCTGTTGCTCCCTTCATTCTCCACAAGATCAGAGATAAGGTCAGTTGTTGGACCTTAATTCTTACTTGGAGGGTTACAGATCTTTGTTGTACAGGGAACTGTTCATAGTTTATCTGTTGTTATGTTGTATGGAATTAACTTTAATTCTATTTCGTATATTCAAAATTTATATTTATCTTTTAAATTAATTTTACATTTTACAGAGCACCAAGGAAGGGAAGCCTGTGAAGTTTACTTGTACTGTAATCGGAACACCCGAGCCAGAGATCCAGTGGTTCCTGTAAGATTTAAATCAGAATCATTTGATACCTGTAAAAGTTAAATGTGGTTAGTGTAGGTTCAATCCATTATTTAACTAATCATATTTGATTGGTTTTGTTATTATCACCTGCAAGGACATTTCTGTCTTCCCTATTGACATACAGAAATAAGGAACTACTAAAGGCAAGTACTCGTTTCATCCAAACCTTTGAGGAAGATGTTGCCACACTGACAATTGAGCATCCAAAACCCAAGGACGCTGGAGAGTACAAGTGTGTGGTCATCAACACAGCAGGGGAAGACGTCTGCACAGCAAAGTTGACAGTGATTGGTAAATTCTTCTCAGGCATTGGTGTTTGGATTGGTGTGTTTTACACCCAGTTTGTTATTTTGTGGACACTTTTTTTGAAATGAAGACTCTCAGCCGCAAACTACAGCATTTACTGTAATTAAATAGGAAACTGATTCTCTGAGGTTCATTTTAAAGTGAATCCTCCTCACAACATTCAAGTAGGTTGCCATGCTGGAAGGTTGTGGGAAAATCTGTTTTTAGTTTGATCTTGTTTCTGTTGTAAGGTTTACAAGCCATTTGTACGCCTGACTTTAAATGTTGGTAATTCTTTTAGTTTACTAGAAGAAGTGTTCTGAACTGTTTAAATAAGACATTCATGTTTATAATTTCTGCTAATTTAGAAGTCAGAAGGGGACCATCATTTGCTGAGAAGCTACATGTTGAAGATACACTTGAAGGTGAGAACAACTGTACTTTGAGCCAGATGTTCATTTGATTTCAGTTTCTTTACTTTGTCCTTAAAAAATTGTTTGTTTGTGTTAAAAGGTACTGAAGCGATTTTCCGATGCAAGGTTGATGGTTTCCCAAAACCTGTTATTACCTGGAACAAAGGTTGGAAGCAGATAACAACTGGAGGAAAGTTTGCTATCACCTTCGACGAGGATACTGAAGAAAGTGTCTTGACAATCAAGGACACAGCCCCCTCAGATGCTGGGAAGTACACTTGCTATCTGAAGAGTCCTCTAGGACAAGACAGCTCCACAGTGAGTTTAAAAGTCACACCTAAGCCTGAAAAGAAACCCGAGGAAGAAGATAAACGAGAAGAAAAGCCTGAGGAGAAAGCTCCAGTCCCAGAAGTTGAGCAAGTTGAGGCAGTGCCTGAGATTTCCAAACCAGAGAAGGTTCCTACAGAAGTAATTTCTGTTGAGGAGGTCGAAGCAGTCCCTGGAGAGAAACCAAAGGTCCCATCAGCCAAAGTTGACATTGAAGCAGTGGCAGAGGAACAAGCTGAGACTGAAGTAACATTCAAGGTCAAGCCCCATGTCAAGGAAGAAGTGGTTCTTCCAGTTAGCACTGAGCCCGAGGAAGTCACTGTGGAAGTTGTCCCAAAAGAAGAGACCAAACCTGAGGAAGTTCCTGAAAGGAAGCCGACCTTCACTGTGAGTTCTGAAGAGGAAGTCAGGAAAATCTTT